ATAAAAATTTTAAATCGATTTAAGAATTTTAGTTTAGAGGTCTTTTCCTAAACTTGAATTGTTAAACCTGAATGATTTTAATCTTTTAATTTTAATTTAAAAACAAGCTCTTAAATGGTAAATAATTATTATTTTGAGTTAAAATTCAAAACCATGTATTTAATGAAATTCATTGACACCTGATGGTTGTATTCAACTTATCATACACAGCAAGAATAAAAAAGTACTTTCTATAATTTTGTTTTGGTCATTACTAGAATTAAACATAATTTGTAATTCATTAAATTTCAGGGGGAAACTATTGGAAAATTTATTAGCCAGATTTCATCTTTACAAGACGAGATGCGCCAGTTGGCAAATGCTCACATAAATGCACAGCAGTTATTAAAGATGAAGGAAGAGGCCTTAGAGAAAGAGAGAAAAATCAGAGAGGAAATGAGAAAGAGATATTCAGTAAGATTTAAAAAATGATTGTAGACTATTATTGTTATATTATATAGGGTTATTGGTCGTGAAGTTTATCTGTTTATGGCAGGGTATGAAGCCTATGAAAGCTTCAAAGTTATCCCACTAAAAAATAGAGGGTTGTACGGTAGGCTGACAAATAGATTCAGTTGATGGACCCTGTCATACAGACACTTGTTTAATCACCTTGGCAAAATGTTTTTTTTAGTAAAGGCTGTGTGCCAAAGATTATTTTATATCAGTTTGAATAAAAAATAATACTCTTTTTGGTTCAATAAACTGTATTGATAATAATTTGTTAAATATTAAATATGATAAACAACAATTCAGTTTTGTTTATCAGAAACAATAAAATAAGATTCATAATTCTATATAGAATCAACAATTACTAGATGCCATCATGCCCAATTTCTAACAATCTATTTTTATCCTATCTTCATTTTAATCCATTCATTTTATTGGTCATCCATTAGAGTCTTTTTACACAGGAGAGCAAAAAAAAAGAGCTTGAACTGAACCGAAATGCTCAGAATTCTGAGAAACTTCAAGAGGTCCACTCAGAGTCACTGGAAGTATGAAGGTTTTTTTTCTTTGTTTTTATATTACTGGTAGGAAATTCTTCTGTTAAAGCAGGGGGTGGTGGATTCATGGCCAGCCTTGTCAATAAATGCTACCCGCTGATGCTTGATTAATCTCAATCAATTTATTTTTTTCTTCTTTCAATTTACAATAAATACATGGATTTTGAAAAGATAATTGAAAAATAGATCAAATGGTATCATACAAGTTTAGTTTTGCACTGTTTTTTTATTTAGAATTTCATTAAGTGCATTAAGAATAGACGAATATAATTTTGATGCAACATTTACTGTGTGTAATGACATAAGGTCCATAAACGGTTTGCTCCCCATAAGTAACGCGTGAAGCCTTTAGGGTTGGACACCACTGGGTTAAAATGATTAAAATCCACCCCCCACCCACCCCCACCCCCTTCCCCCCATTAAAATTACATTCCTTAATATTTGTTTTTTTCTATCTTATTTACTGTTGGAACCAAATAATTGTAAATTTATTTAATTAATTTCTTTCGATTTCAAAGTCACAAAACCTGAAACGTATTGACATCATATTGTCAATTCATTACTTTATTTTTTTGACTTGTGGGTTATGTATGTAATTCAATAATTGAAAATACAAATGTTGTTTTTATGATATTTTTATATAACAAATTTAAAAATTATTTCTTCTCCCCATCCACCACAATAGAAACAGATATTTTCTTTTCACTTATAATAGAAATAACACTGACTTAATGCCACTGGTACTGAATTTTAAAAAAAAATGATCGGTTACTTTTAATAAATTATCTGTTCAACCTGAATGTATTTTTTTATTATTCACATCGAGTCATCCATTGCAATTAGTCAAACAACATTTGGCTAAAATGACCTGCTACAACATTTCAGATATCCAAACATTTACAGGAAGCTCATGAATGGTTTAAAGGAAAGTTTGATAAACTCCAGACTGAAATTACAGCCTCAAAGTGAGTACCAAAATTAACCACACTTAGTCTCTTCCTAGTCTCCTCCTAAAAAAAAAAATATCATCCATAGCTATTCTAAAAATCTGTAAGCCCTGAAACGTGAGATGTAATTTAGCAGACTATTGAGATTAAAGATCTTTAGAAGCTAACTAGCCACTTGGTAAAATGGATCCATATCTGAAATGCCTGTAAGGAAATGTAGGAACACGAGATAAAAATAAAAGAAAATGTTTTTTTAAGTTTAGATGGAACAAGATGAGGCCCAAGAGACTCTTTTTTTAGGTTAAACAATATATGGAATCACACATTATGCTTCTAAAAGAATGCACACATTTTAGAGAGAGTTTGAACAGGCTTATAAAGGTTGTCTGCTCAGTGTGCTCATTTTTGGATGGAGTTTTAGTTTAGGTCACCATTCCTTATATCCACCCTGGTTGCTTTTGACTGTGCCTCCATTATTCATGTCTGTCATCTTCAGAATCTAATCTTTTGTTTTATTTATTTAACTTTTGTTCTTGCTCTATCCCAGACAAATCCAAGCCAAGTTGGAAAGGGATAATGTGGATCAAAGAACTTCCCTGGAGGTGGAACGAACTAAAGCCCAAGATGCTGCTGAGAGAGCAAAAGAGATGATACAAGTGGGTAGCAAACAATACAGTTTCATCTGTTCAAGATGTGTTTATTTTGTCAAGTTTTGGCTACATTTGGATTTCTTTCTTTCTGCATTAATAAATTAATGTGTTGAAATTTTTTCGATGACACTGATTAAGTGTTCGGGTAATTAAAGGGAAGTGAAACTAAAGGTTTCTTTTTAATGTGAAGCGCGGTGAGTCCTAGGGTATATAAGACCACTGTAATAATAATAATGGTAATAATAATTCTTTAAAAAAACTCTTTGTTGAAACTTTATTAGCATTAATTAATTTTTTAGAGTTAAATTACCTTGTTTTGCAATACTTTTTCCTGTGTTCGAAAGAGATTTATGACACTGTTAACTTGATATTACCTTAGATTTACTTACTTTATATGATTTTATATCCGTATAAAAATTTTCAAACACTAAAGAGATATTTTAATATTTTAACAGAACAGCAGAATGACCATCAGTCGACTGGCAGAATACGCTGAGTTAGCAGGTGCAGACACTAAACACCAGTTGGCAGAGTTGAGAGCTGAGCTCTTTATCACACCCACTGCAACGAAGTAAGCACTGTTGAGTAAGATTTGAATTCATGTGACCCTTATCATCTGCCAGAATTAATTTTAATTTTACTGTTTCAGCATATATAAAGTTATTTGATTTTTATTAAAAAAAAGCAGCTCCCAAATTTATTAGTGGCATTTTTATTTTAAAATTGTGAAAATCTTGTTTGCACTTGTAACAAAAATTAATGAGTTAAAAAATATATTTTGTTTCTCTGAAAAAAAAACATAATTGTATTGGACCAAAAGTTAACCTATCCCATTAAGCCCAGCAATAAAATAGAAATGTAGAATTTAAAATACAAATCAGATTAAATTTAACAAATAAAACATTTGGAATTTCAGATTGGCCATCATGAATGGAGAAAGCTAAAAGAAATATTTTCACTTTGACTGACCAACTGATACTGATTGACATCTTCATCTTTAAAAAATTAATTTTATTTTATTTTGTCATGTTAATGGAGTGCTAGGGTTAAAAATCATGTGTAGCAAATATATGAGAAACATCTACCAACTTGACATTTATTAATTAATTGCTTTTTGAACACTCAGGAAATATTTTAACATTTGTATAATTCTAATTAGTGAATTCTTATTCTAACAATTGAAATTCAATTTACATAAGTGGGAAAGATTGTTGCCCAGTGTATTTTTTATATTGTTGTATTGTACACATTTGTTATGAATTAGTCCACTCTCTAAATATTCACTAATAATTTGAATATGATGAGGAATTAAATCCAAGGAAAAAAAATGTGAGTTTTAGATTGTATGTATAATTTTGTGTGTTAAAGTAGCAAAAATATTTACTGCTATTTTTACTCTAAGTCTAAGCATCACATGTAACTAATGATACTTATTACTCAAGTCTGTGAATAGCATTTAACTATCCTCAAATTTATCTCTGAAACTTAATGTTTATTTAGTACCTTATGAAAAGTCAAGTGAAAGAATTATTCTGACATCTTACAAGCTGCGACTACATTTGGTTAGATTGGTTTAATTAAAAAGAAGCAAGAAAGCATTACTAATCTTGAATGTGCCAAAAAAGAGTGTATTTTATATAAATTATTGACCTATTCAGCATTATGCCCAATGTATTTATTAGATATAGATATTTACATGCATTCAAGGATTCCAAGTGTTTTAGTATGTTGTCTAATTTATTGAAACTGCTCATGATATTAATTATTATTCAGATTTATTTTAACAACACAAGACAGGGTTATTTTATTTCTATGAATGAGGATGGTTTTTATTTCCGCCTGAAATATACTATTTGTTATGTTGCTATGTGCCACAATGTTAGCAGTAGCAGGCTCAAATTTACAATTTGTTAGGTTTCTATGAGCCACAATGGTAGCTTCATCTGCCTATCAGCCAAGATGTAGAGAGAATTTTTTCTCCAGTTTTGGGTAAATGGCTGTGTACAATGTACTGGTCAGCCCAGTAAAGAAGCTGTTCTTCACAACTTCACCTTGCATTTAATTAATCTTGCCATTTGCCATCTTGATCTACGTCTCATGTGATCCGACCCGCATTGTGTCTACTAACATTAGTAAAATATGTTTAGGTGATATATATTTAACTTGTTCTGCAGTGACTTTGAGAAATCAACAACCCTACCAAAAAAATATATTTTTTATAACATTGATTGATTTTTCTAATGAATGATGTGATTAAATTGTGATGTTTAAGTATTTTGGTATTGAATTATTAAACCAATTTTATTCAAAAGTGATTCAATAGTATCAGCATGAGTTCATTTATATTTTTTAATGGTTGAAAGTTATTTAGCTATTTTATTGCCGGTTTTTAGGAGAAAAAGTACGGAGTTGTAATATACTTACTTAAGTGCATTAAAAAACACACACACACTAGGTTAATAAGATAAAGACATTACATGAAGAGCAACTTCAACAAATAAAAAGCTTCCTAAAAGAACAAAAGAATGACCAAACATTTTGCAAGTTTTTAAAAATTTGCTATGCAAGTATGTAATCCTATTTCTCAAACATATTTTATGTACAAACATTATACAGTCTGCACTTTGCACACTCTTATGATATTTACATAAAGAACCGTCTCAAAATGATCACACCAGTCTCAGCTCTCTTCATTCTACTAGGCTGCCCACGTGTCGAATTTGCTTTCTGTCTTAGCTCTCTTCATTTTTGTGGACTACACATGTCAAGATTACTTTCTACTTCTACTTCCTACCAGCCAAAATGAGTTGATCAAAGAAACCTTCAGGACATTGATGTATGAGCCCTCAAGCTGTCGGAGCAATAGTATGAGTACCGGTATGCGATTAGACATTCCAGGTAGTCAGCTCCTGAAAAAAATGAACTGAGCTCTTTTGGCTTGATTCCAATCGTGAGTTACAACAGATCATTTAAAAGATGCATGTGATTTGAGAGAAACAACAACACAACTCATTGACAGAAAAACTATTTCGTCAATCATGATCATAGCAAAAAATATTTGAAATTATTATTGAACTTTGAAGAAGAAAAAAAAAAAAAATTAACCACTGGTGGGTTTTACTGGAATATGAAACTCAAAAACAAATTCAAATAATTCAGTCCATTGGTTTGTTGAAGAAATGAGTCCTGCAGTTTCATGTATACAGACATGAAGTTTGTGTTCAGGATTTTGCCCATACTTCATAATTGTAAATAGAAACCCCACATCTTCAAACAGACTTCTTGCCTACACCAGAAAAAAAAGTTCATAATATCAATGGGGGACAATGCTCTGTCAAAAGGAGAATACCAAACGAGACAAGATGTGGCAGTGACCTTGGCTCTATCCATGCAGACAGGATTCACCAACTGAAACCTTTTAACTTGCAACAGTGAATGCCAAAATACATCTTGTCCAACAGGGAGACAGCTAAACTTCAGATGGTCAGAGAATGGTATATTGTGAGGTTTCTTTTTATTCTGAATCCTCCACATTTGTTTTAGAATTGTGCTTCTAGCATCCTATTTAACAAAAATGTCCTCCTCTTTTAATGTTATGTTACCCTAAAACTGGTGCAGCTCAGTAAGAAGTTTCTGAACAATTGGACAAAGGAAAAGGGACACAACTGTATAACTTTGTTGAGTTTTGTCTGCATGCCAAATAGATCAGAAAGAAAAAATAATAAATCAATGAGTTTCTGGTACATTTGATTTTAAAAGAATAAATTACATAGGTTATAATTTCTATTTATTATGGCCAGCATTTGAGTCAAGCTAATTTTACCAGGACTCTCTGTTCAAGCGGGATGAAATAAAAATTAATTGTCACACTTCTCTCATTCTTTCTAATTACACAGGTTATTATTATTATTTTACTATGGGCACCAGTGGTATTATATAACTAATTTTATACTTAATTTTGTTTAAGTTGGATAATATCATAAAAACTGTCAGACTCATTAATGCCAGTCATCAGCTATTCTGCGTAACATTTCAGCATAATGAAAACGTTATTGCTACTTAAAAATAAAACTGTAATGTCTTTCAATTAAAAACTGGCAGATTAAAAACATTACAATTTATAAGCCAAATCTGCTGTAAAGCTTTTGGCTTCTCTTAAGAAATTAAAAGGGCAATGCCCACTGTAGCATGTTGAAAACCACTAGTAAAACCTATGAATGCCCTGTAACTAAAAAGAAATGCTCTGTGAGGTGGATACAAGATGTTTATATTTAATTTTAACCATTCAAAATGTGATAAAAAATAAACTGTATTATCAACAAAAGGTTCATAAAACTCTTGAAAAGAATGAGATGAAAATGACTCATTTAAGGAAGAATATAACATCCGTAAAAGCACTCTTCTTGAAAAGGCATCACACTGGAAGAATCCGAAATAGAAATTTAACATCATCAACCCTGTCCATGCCATTCCGATTTGATACTTTCTCAGTCAATTTCCTTCTTTAAGAAGTTCTTATGATAAAACCACAAGCACATCTTCATGAATATTGAAATGCAGATAGAAGAAAAAAAAAAATTAAAGCATGATGACATTATAGATAAAAAATGAAATCATTAAATTGTAGACCAAATAGAACAAAAATACAATTTCCAACAGACCAACGTAAAAGTCATAACATAAAAGTCACTGCTAATAACACAAAAAATTCTAAATGTAACAAATGTAAGCACACAAAGAGAAGGTAAATGTCGATTTTGGGTTTGTTTTTTCACCTTGCATCTGAAATACACTGGCCGATTCTTTCTTAAAGCTCTTTGACCAATGAGATGTGAACATCAAGATTTCATCTACTTATTTCATGTTGATATATGACTTGCAAAACAAATTTAATAATGATCTGAATTATGTCTTTTTTTTCAGTTATAAATTTAACTCCATGTAGATCTTGAAAAATAAGCATTCTTTAAATGAGTAGTAAATTTTCACCAAAACGTATTACCAAAAACAAATAATCTCCAGGCATACAAGAGAGAGGTTAAAGAACATGTCACAAGAACAACTAAAACATTCTCCTTTACTAAACTTATTACTGAATCAGCAAACACTTAATCAAAATGAGTAGAAAGACTTTTAAATGACATATCAGCCCCTCACTGAAGACAACTGTTTCATTTCATCTTGTCTTCTAGCTTTTTCTTTTCCTTTGGAGTGGGCAAAAAAATATTTTGTGACTGGTAGTTGCAACATTTTGATTTACAAATAAAAATGTACAATCAGTACAAATCATATGTCCTATTTCTTAACTTAAAACAAATAGTGTTAATATCTCAGCTTTAAAAGGCATGATTAATGGGTATTAAAATTACTTCAGTATGTTAATATTTCATTATATTTTTTATGCACTCACAAAGCAAATTGTATGCTGTGCACTAAATCCAGATACGTGCCCGACTGATGAGACTTAAAAAATGTAATTTGAAGCATCTTCATCTGTGGTTGCACTTTGTCAAAACAAAAAGCTTTTGACCAGAAACTGATATCAACAAATGCACCCAAGAATTAGAAAGAAAGATGATTGGACAGAACCTCTGTGAGTTGTCATTAAAATTACAGCTTCAACTATTCTAGTTATATTTTTTCGTTTGTTTATCTCAAATATTCATGAGAGCTAAAAACATTTTTAAAAGGATGTTTTATCTTAGGCTTTTCAAATGATTTTAAATCTGATGGAAAATTAAAATTATATGCAAACAGCTTTAAAAAGTAGAACCTAGATTCACTTTTTTACAAATTTTGCAGCAATCCGTGATTTCTTTTTCTTGTCACCGGATTGTACTGAGGACCTTGAGGGTGCACCTGGTACTGCGATTGATGAAGAGGGCACAGACGGTTGACTTCCGTGGGAAAGCATTCCATTCCTATCTGTGTTTTCCTTCCAACCAGCAGTTGGATCAATATTTCCTGCAGGTTGAGATGGTGGCCCTGGAGTAGCTGTCTCCTTTGTTAACAGTTCTTCATGATGGGAAGAGCTGACAGTGTGCGTCACAGCATCACCAACAGATTGGGAATCAGATTCACTCTCCCTTCTCTTGTTTGGATGCTTCTGATTTCGTGATACCTGTCGACAATATATTCAAGTTTAAAACTATCCATACACGTACAATAATACTTAGAACTGCTGAGATTTTTTTTTTCCGGTTGACAGGGAAAACTAAACGCAACTTCTTCCCATTTCCATTAATTGTCAGTCAAATATAATTATTCATAAGAGTTAATTATTCATAAGAGTTATCTGTAAGATGTGTTTCCAATTTTTTTAAAGAAGAGTTTCTACTTTAAAAACTCAGGGTCATCACAATAAGAAATCAATCCACCACCATCATTGTTTTCCTTGGCACTGAAAAAGACTTATTGAACATTTTAAAAAATTGCTAACAACATTTAAAGGAAAACTTTCTCCTTTCAGTCCTGGCTTTACTAAAACACTTATTTTCCATTTGTAATTTGCAATAACACTGTCGGATAAATACATTTTCCAGTTCCAGTGAATTGTGTTCAACTTTTGATTAATCAAAGTTAGCTATCACTACGTGGGACAAAATATTTTGATTTAAATCTTTACCTGAAGAGGAATAAATTGCTGGCTTACAGACGATGACCCAGTTGTGGTTGGTGCCTGTGTCATCGCCGCCATACTGAAATTGGAACCAGATTGACTGGATCCACCATTCAGATGGCCTTGAATGGCCTGGCCTTGAAAAGAATGCGGTGATGGATTTTGTGGTCCTCTCTGCTGCGGGTGCCTGTTGGGATGCTGTTGAGAAGGACACCCAATTAGCTCTAACTTATAGCTGTATGGCAGCTTTAAGTTATTCAACAACAACAAAAACAACTGAAATGGAATCTTCTGCCTTGTTTTTGTTTTTTTTTATTCTATTATTTAAATGTGATTAGTATTAGTGGTTATTCCTCTTTTTAAGAAAAATCTACAGAAAAAAAAATTTGGTGGAGTCCAATTCTTTCAGCTAAAAGGTGAACGTCAATATTTTTTTAGGGAACATGACATGAGATTCTGAAACATAGAACAAAACAATACACCAGACATTAGGGATTAAAAACTTTTTTCCTGGGTAATAACAAAAGTAAAAGATTTTTTTTTAAATTATCCTAAAATGGCACGGCACCTGCAACAATAAAAATCTAACCACAGTAAAAGAAATAATTACGATCAATAGAATGTTAGGTCTCACAAGAAATGCTGATATTTTACCTCTCGCCCAAAGTTCTGAGTGTGATGTCCAGTGCTCTGATAAGGTATCTGCTGCTGTTGTTGGAAAAGGTGATGCATGGTGATGGAAGGGGGTGGCTGGTTGATAAAATGTTGGGGTGTCAGCAGCATTGGTGCAGAAACTGGAGGGTGTCGAGGCAGAAGACTTGGATTAGGGCCTGTGAGGAGATTGGACAGAGACATAAACACAATGAAAAGTTTTACACAAAAAACTCAAAACAAATTAATGCTCAAAGCAAAGTCCTAACATTACAATATTGATTGCAAGCTTCATTTTAGTATCTATGTATCATTATTCTAAAACTATTCTGTGAATTCTATAATTTTGTTACATTTTTAAAACCTTACCTGGCAGTCCAATGGGGCTGAAAGCTGAGTTTATTGAAAAGAAACGGTTAACATTTGGCCGCTGAGCTCCGGGCATAAAACCAGTGAGTAGTGGGTGGTTTAAATTGGGTCTGCTGTTCTGTAAAAAAAGAAAAGATGGATATTTTTTTTATAATAATAATAAAGTTTATTTCAAAAACACGCTTCATCCCCAAAGGCTCGAAGCGTGGTACAATGTCAACAAAAAAACTATAATTGAAATAAACTTTATTATTATTATTATTATTTTTTTAGTGAATTATATTGTCAACACCAACGCTGCTCAGCTAAGGAGGAAATCTATAGCAGAAGGCTATGTGTTGAGGGAGGTATTATTATAATGGTAGTTGGTGTGTATAATGGCAGGTGGTGGGTATAATGGCGGGTAGTACACAGAGAAGCAAGCGACATGCATAACTTTACTTAGGGCATCAAGGTATGAAATGTTCTTCGATTTAAGCAATTTAAATGATTAAAAAATGTTGAGCTACAAGCGCATTTTGTGAGAGAGAGTGGACTTAAATTTGTCAACTTGTGTCTATGACTTACCAAGCAGAGCAAAGCCATGCTGGCAGCACTTTTTGCTGCCTCAGCTCTGGTTTTACACAGTGACCCCTCAAACCGATGGCCATTGGACAAAATCACATTTGCAATGTAGCCATTCTACAAAATAACAAATAAATATATTAGCTTTCGATCCCAAACTGATAATTTTATCGCCCAATTGCACAGTTAAAATCATATTACTTGATCAATAGCTTATCTCAGTTTTACAATAAAATGGAACTATCAGGTGAAAGAATATTGGTTTGTATTGCAAATTTAGGTAATTTTATTGAAAGATTTTATTATTTTTTTTACAATTCAAATGTAAAATGTTTAAAGTGAGCCAACTTGCCTGTTTGGGTTGGGTCTTGTAATCAAACTGTGGTGTACCTTGATTCAGACGAGTTTTACAAAAAACTTCTAGCTCAGCAATAGGATCCCTAAATGTAGATTAAAGTTTTTAAAATATATTTTTTAATATAAGAATAAAGCTACCATTGATATGCAGTGTTAAGAATGAACAGAGAGAATGCATAAGATTAGCTTCTTAGCAAACAGTTTGTGGTTCCATTAAAGATTTTTCATGATTAGCAGGTAATATATATACATAACTACAAAACCACACAAATAAAATGAACAAATTAAGAAGAATATAAAAATCTATAATATTTATTTCTCTTTTTTTTTTAAGATAAAAAAAGGAATAAATAACCAAGAAGTTATTTCACAGTAAAAGAACGCCATAAAATATTAAAATACTACCAAGTTCTCACCTGTTTTCAGTGACTTGAGATGACGTTTGACCTGATTTAGGGGATTCTGAGACTGGCGGCTGCTTCAGCTGCTGGTGGTTTTTTGCTGTTAAAATGTATGGACAGCTTTTGTTACAAGAAAAACAAACTTTGATTAAAAAGGACAGAATTTTAAAATTAATCAAAGCCGTCCATTTTATCTTAGGTCAGATCATATCAAACATTTATAGAGATTTATGAGTCAAATTTATAAACAAAGCAAAGGCAAGACAAATTTTTTTACAGCATTACCCTTTACCTTCATCAAACAATTCTTGCAAGGACACCTGTCTCATGCAAGCTGGGGGAATTCCAGGAGACTTTCTGGACTCCGACTGCCCTGTTGGCAGGACAGCAGACACAGCAGGAGCCTGCTGTGCAATATTTGGTGATTGCTGTCTGTGTAAAACAGAGGGTGTTGTTTCACTTGCAGTGGTTGTAGCTGTTGCAAGAGTTTGCGGAGCTGTTGCTTCTACACCAATCTTCAGTAGTTGTTTCAGTGCTAGATCAGCCTGAGGGTAAATGATGGCCTTGTTAGTGCATTTTATGGATAAGTGTTTCCTCACTTCAATAAAAAAAAAAAAAAACTAGTTCATTTAAGAATTTTTTTGTTTACATGTGCGCAAAAAATATTACAAGGTAATTATCTTTAATTAAAATCTCATGCATGTTCTTTTATCTTAAAATCAAACAAATTATTAAACGAAAGCAGATTTGAAGTAAAGCAGATAATAACTGATGATTTGGTGTCCCTTGGCACAGTTACTGATGAGGGGAGAGAAGTCACAGCTGCATTCACATTACTCGACTGTTTGGCTTCAGCAGTGAACTGAAGGGGAATGGCATCAGAAGAAAAAAATCATTGGTAGGAAATTCATCATTTGAAATGTTAGGATCTAGTATGGAGAAAAGCATGGATCTACATGTGTGTTTATAAAATGACTAATCCATTAAACGAGATGACATTCATTTACATTTCATTTTTTTAAACTTGGATGATTATTAACCAACAAATGGTGGAAGATGTGAGGCAAGACACATTTGAAAGGCAGAGACAAAAACAATTGAGCATCACTAAACTACAATGAAATATCGCTGACAATGTTTCAAACAAACCTTTAAAGTATTGAACATGGCTAAAAACTCAGCATTTTCTGGGCCTTCGCGGGGCTCAGGGACAGTTTTTTGTCTTGAAGCATTATCAAACAAGCTCTGAACAGACACAGGGGTCAGGGAGTGGGTCCCAGCTGACGTGACTGCCGGACTGGAAGCAGGGATCACGTTCCCTGGCACAGAAAATATGGGCCGTGGGTGGGGGGCGTTCTGAGGAGTTAAAGGCTGCTGCAATGCTGGCTGATCCTTTTGTTGTTGTAATGCTGATAAGCCTTGCAACTGGGGTAGAGGTTCAGATGATTTGGAGCCTTGGGTGAGATGCTTTAGAAAAAAATAATTTAAAAATTTTAATTTTTAAAGAAAGCTTGCATAATTTATGCAGTATCATTTGAAAAATAATTATTTTGTACAATTTTTTTTTTTTTTAGTATTCCAAAAACAAATTGACTCTACTTTAGAATTTGAATGGCATTTTATTTAGGATAACAAAATAAATGGAGAGGCCAATTTAATTAATCTTATGATGCAACAAATCCAGCTCTAAAAAATGACATTACATATGAAAATCAACTTGCTGATAATGTCCTTTACTTGTTGAACATATGGCTTATTAGTGGTGTTTACAAGAAAGGACCTAATTTTGTTCACATTTTAAAATGACTAGATGAAAGTAAATCTAAAAGACTCCAGAGATGACAACTGACACAAAACATGAGAAATAAAAAACTGTCACCAACAAATTGTCAGACAGAACAGTCCCCTAGCATGCTGAACCTGTCTAAACTAACCTTGTGTGACTGCAGGTTCTTCCATATACTATCAAACTCACTATTCTCTGCACCCCCTCTGTTATCCTGCAGTGGTAGAACAAAAACAAGTATTTTTAAAACTTAAAAGAAAAAAATATTTTGCAAAAAAAGGTATTGTGAGTAGGTTCCTCACCTTTGATAAAATGAATATGAAATATTAGCAACAAGACTTAAATATTAAAACATTTCCACCAAATTATGAGGGTGGTTGTCTGGCTTTTTTTCTGAATAACATAGATTTTAATAAATGGCATGGACGTGCCTGAGTTGTTGTAGTATTATGCATCACAGTCTGGGGACCTTGAACTTTAGGAGTCACAAATTTAGGAGGTGTCACCCCTTGACTTTTACCTGCACCCTGGAACAGAAAGAAAATGACTGTCATGTATTACAGGCATGTATTAACTTGGTGAAATATCATGTAGAAATATACCTTAGTATGGCTACTAGGATGATAAAATATCATGTAGAAATATACCTTAGTATGGCTACTAGGATGATAAATTATATGTTTATTAGTGAATGGCATGTTGGGAATGGAAATTTGACACCTTCAATTTTTTTTTAATCTGTTTAGATCCAACATTCAAGTTTGTTGAGTAGATCGCTAATATTTAAAAAAAATATTTTTTTTAAGTGTTACGAATTAAGTAAATCCCTATTAGGTTGAGTTAAACATTACTTATATAATGATCAACTTTTTTCTGCTAACCTATAAATTAATAAATGGCATTGAAATATAATTTTAATATAAACTTTATTTTTGTAACATCTTGATTATATATGTTGAACACAGGTCTTCTGTTACCTACAATTTATGTTTTTATATATCCAGTGTTGTAGTCGTGACTTAGTGCTTTCTCATTATTACGATAATTACTTCTATGAAAGCATGAGGCAGATTGGATATGTTTGCATCACTATATACTTTATTTTACTCAGTACGATTCACAAACCAGAAATAAAATCTTCAATTTGGAGTAATATAATTGTCATGATCTTACACACTTCACATACATTATAATCCACTCAGATTGTAAGTTAGCTATCCCAATGCTATATGCTATATACTTAATGCGAGAGCAAAACAGCCATCTTTAACATTCGAATTCTACCACACTCTCTCTTCCTGTCCTTCTGCCCATGAAATTCCAAAATCAAACTTTATGTTAATACTAAAAAACGAAACAATTCATTACAATTTTGATATCAACTTTCAATATAATTATGCTTAAATTGCAGAAAGGAAAACATTCTTGAAAATTATTTTTTCTCATCATCAAATAATTATGTATTACTCAACTGATTTACAGTTGAGGACATGTTTACAAATCATAATTTGCTGATATACACTAGCATTGTTAAAAATGTTACTCTATGGTGTGAATAAGTTTCAAATAATGTCACAGATATTTTCCACAAAACTATGACATTTCAAAGATTTATATTTAATAATGTAAGAGCGGTGACAAATTATCTTTCTTTTTTTACTTCAACAAGACATCTGCATGCGCCAAAAGAAATAATCAGGTTCATAAAAATACATCAAGAACCACTCTCTTTATATGACCTGAGCTCACCTGACTTTGAAAACCAAAAACTTGTCCAAATGTTGGCTGCCCATTCTCCCACCTGACAGGCTGTTGATGAAACTGTGAGTTCTGAAAGGATCTAGAAGAGTATTGTTGCTGTTGCTGTTTCCACAAGGCAGTCCTGTCACTGTAGGCACCACCACCACGGTCACCGTAGGGCTGCCTCTGCCCCATGGCATTGTTGTTGTTTTGGCTGGAGCTAAACCCACTGCCATGGCCGTTGTAGCTGGACCTTTCACTGGAGTGAGTCTGCTGCATTCTGAGTAAGCAGATGATCAGAATGTTAAATTTACATTCCTTTTATTAACAGAAACTCAACACTTCAACAAAAGGTAATTTATATTGATTTCCTCAACTGATTGATTAAAAAAATGCTGTTCTGTTTAAAAAACGTTCTGAGATTAAAAAATGATAGAGTTTTCTTGGTAATTTGATGTTATCAGTAGAGACTAAAAAGTTCAGTGTATGCAAAGAAAATTGCAAGAAGAAAGTATTTCAAATAAGGAAATTTTATATTTTAAAACATAAGTCTTGAGAATATATAAATTTTAAATTTAGAGGATTAAATGACATCACCAACATGTTTATACCAGAAGGGGGTAGATTCATTTAAGCAGGACAATACAAAGTAAAATATTCTGGCTAAAATCACTTCGTCAATTAACATTGTTTATACAGAGCATCTGAAGAACATTTGGTGGTTTAACTTGGGCATAATGAAAATCAAAGAAGCTTGTACCTGGCAGAATTCCTGGACAAAGCTGCCCTCTGGTCTAAACTGACAGATTTCCTAAACTCACCAAATGTGAGATTAAGCATGGCTGATCCTGGCACTCGGTAGCCTTTATTTTGGGAGCACCTGAGAGTACAGCAGTTGAGAGCAGTGGGTTTGGCAACATGATCAACCAAATGAAAACATTTTAACACTAGCTAATTTGGCACAAGATCAGATTTTTTCTTCACAGCACTGTTTTAATAAGCTGATACACAGCATTTCTACAGCATGATAATCTTCATATTAAATGTTTACTATCCATCACCCCCACATGATTATTTAAAGTTAAATGAATAAAAAGATTTAAAAAGAAATTTACATAAAATTTAATGGGTTGCCTTCTTAATGAATATTATTATTCTATCCCAATTCAACAGTGTATCATAACTATTTAAAAGATAAGAAATATTTTGTCCATGCCAAGTTAAGAAATATGTTGATAAGTGCTTTAGCAAGATCAACAAGTCATCCTGATGTGTTATGGGAAATTAATTGAGGCAGCCCTTTCTCTCCTTGGAAAAATCATTTCAAATTACATGGTGTGCCTTTTAAATATGGTATGAATGCTATTCCAAAAGAGCAGAATTTTGTCAGGTTTATTTTTTCAAATCAATTTTCAACTTTATTTCTTAACAATTTTAAGCATATTGTTATAAATCTGTGTTGACCTAATTTTACTTCATTGTAGCGCTGTGGCAACCTCCACTTTTCTACCCTCCTTCCTTTTTTTTCTTCTTGATATTGACCCATTAAATGTGCAGCACTGTACCAACCCCAATACTCCCTTGACTGGGAAAAGGTTGTTTACACTCTATTTGCTATAAAGAATGCTATTGGGTGATGCAATTTCTAGAATTTCTTATCTGGCGGGCTTCTAACTCCCTCCCTATACATAGGCCGGCAGCTTTACTAGCCGCAGAAGAGAGATATTTACTCATTTCTCTAGACACAAGGATATTACTTTTTCACTTGCTGTGCTGCAAGTTAATATAATTTTGATTTCTGCATATTTGATTTTGAATTTTTATCTAAATTTAAGAGTATAATTAAATTGAACATTGTTATGATCACTAGCTTTGACATCATTTTTCTATGTATACTGCTTTTCAGTCCTTTGTTATATAATCACTAGCTTTGACATCATTTTTCTATGTATACTGCTTTTCAGTCCTTTGTTATATAATCACTAGCTTTGACATCATTTTTCTAGGTATACTGCTTTTCAGTCCTTTGTTATATAATCACTAGCTTTGACATCATTTTTCTATGTATACTGCTTTTCAGTCCTTTGTTATATAATCACTAGCTTTGACATCATTTTTCTAGGTATACTGCTTTTCAGTCCTTTGTTATATAATCACTAGCTTTGACATCATTTTTCTAGGTATACTGCTTTTTCAGTCCTTTGTTATGTATTGTTCCCCAAATCTTAAAACATTACATTTGCAAAACTATAGAACAGTAAGTAACAAAATTAATTTATAAAACCTGTCACTACGCATTAAAAATATATGCACATAATTCAATGCAGAGATTCTGACAATAATATGATGGGGCCAACATGATATAAGTAGCCTCACGTTTCATCAACTTTATTATAGTTACAATTATATATTACCTCAAATTTATTCCCCCTAAGAATGGCTCATCAAACACCACATCATACAAACTGTGAGGTGTGATGCCTCCATCATCTTCTTTAGGTATCCCTATAATGGTTCCTCTTTTACCAAATGGCACCGAGTACCCGGCTTTTACTACCACAATTCTGTCGTACAGAAAAAAATCTGCATCCGGATCAGGGACCAGAGAGCCTTGATTTGCCATGGGCTGGAGAAATATAGAAAGCAAATACATTTTTAGTTTAAACAGCTCATAATACAGATAAATTTGTTACTATAACTCCCTGACATTTTCTCCCCATCTTAAATAATCTCATAATAACATGAACATGATAAAAAATAAACAGTTTTTCTTCTTGAGAAAAATAACTAAAATATTTTTTTTTAATTTAAAAAAATTTGTTTTACTTCTTACTATTTGAATCTGTTGATTTGGAAAATATATAAAAAATTTGTATAAGAAATAAGATCACCTACTCTAAATAAAAGTCTGGGCTTGACTTTCATTTTGACAATGTCTGGAACAGGATTCAGTGCTGCCTGGCGGAGATAAATTTGCTAACAATTAACTTTGGTAAGGCATATAGTTTTCAATAATAGCTGTGATTAATAGCTCTGATGAATGGAAGTTCTTAACTTGATGGGGGTGTGCTATTTTCTTTCAAATGATAATCTAATCTATTTGATAAAACATTTTATGAAGATTACATTTAGAATTATTTTTTCCTTTAGTATGTTTTAAATAAAAAAAATTAAAATTAAAAAAAAAAAAAAATTTAAATTTTTTTTTTAAAAAAAGCAGCTGAGTGTTTCATTTAGAAATACAATTTTGGTTTACCTATTGATCAACAAGAATGCACAGAAGTGTGCATTTTTATCACAAATTCAACCATATAAAGATTTGAAACCAATTGACTTATTGCTTATGTCAATGGACCTCAATTAAGCAACTACCATTCAAAATATTGGCTTGTTTTAATTAAGAAAATTAAAACTAAATATAATTTTCATCTAATTGTATGTACTAAATATAATTTTCACCTAAATATGTACTAGAAAAGCCTTTTTCTTTAACTGGTATTTATCATAAACCTTAATTTTGTTAAGCATCTCTTAAAATTCTTACACTACTTACAGTCATTTCTTCAATCTCTTTGACTCTGTCCTCACTTAAAATTTCAGCCCCAAATTTCATGCGTGGTGCTTTAGTGCAAGGCAGATCTTCCAAATACTTTATTACATCTGATAGTTTGGATGAACTGAAAAAGAAAAGAATCTATACTTAGTTTCATAATGGATAAAGTGAAACAGGACCCAATGTTATTGTTTTTTTATTACCCCTATAGCGAGCTTTAATAATTATATACATATGCGAGAAATAACACTTCCAAACAATGGCGGTGGCAATGCGTGAACTTGCCCTCTACTAAAGTTACTTGACAAAACATCCATTCAAGTAATGCACTTTATGAAGATCACAATTAGCCCTAGCTTCGGGGAATTTTATTTTGTGCACTCATTCAACACAGCCTTACAGCCATGCATACATACATAACTGGAGATTATTATGTGTGATACACAGCCAGCAACCAATCCAAAAAAAAACGTTTTATTAAATTATTTACCCTATATTTAATAATTTCTTGGAAAATAAATTTTTGTTACCAAATAAAAAAAAACTTCTAAAAAAAAAAGAAAAAAAAATAATCACTCACCTGCCCTCAGGAAATAATTTGGCTTCAGTGTAAATATCAGAGTTAGATTTCTGCTGCTGAATGCTCAACCACAGATCAGGAAAACTGGAAAAACAATACATTGTTTTAGAGTACAAAGTCAGAAGAAAGTGAGGAAGAATCACAAGTATTGAGGGACTTTATAAGTTGGAAACTAACCCCAACAGCCAGTCGGCCAACAAGGAGTGTCCATCCAAACAGTATATAGAAATAACTTTTCATTATAAAAATCTGAAATTTTATTGTACCGATCAATGTATTCCTCCACTGCTTTCACACACTTGAAACTGTAAACCCAGCCCTCATCTAGTTTTTTGGTGTAGCCAGGGACTTCTTCCTCCCGCTTTGTGAATTTCAGGTTAAGGCCTATGTTGGCTTTCCCTCCATGAGGGCCAGATTTTTCCACAAATACAGAACCAGTGATCCTAGACATTATGTGCCCATCAATCCCAATCTGCTGGGCGGCCTGATAGTTGTTCAAGTACTTCTCTGAAGTGATCTGTTGGGTCAAGTTTTGGTATAGTAATGACAACCCAAAGTAAGCTTTAAGATCTAAGTAACATCCCAAGTACCTTACTTTGGCCTAGGATCATAAAGCTAAAATAATGCACAAAAAAACCATCATTCTGTTTATTTAAACACAAGTTTTATTTAGGAATACACCCCCCCAACCCCCAAAATTCGCATGCAGCAGTCTGTCCATCATGGCAGTGCAGCAGACTGTCCATCATGGCAGCCTGCGGTTGAGATGGAACAGACCCCTTCCGGATGGGGGCCTAGGAAGCCTGCAGGGGTACTCACTCACCCAAACTTGCCACACCACATGGATAATTGTTTCATAACATATTTAATATTAAAATTTTTTTAATTTTCATGAAATATTCAATGTGTTTACAGAGTTTCCTAAGCATCTGAAGTCTGGTTCTTCTTTTACATCCAAGCAAATTCTTATTCTGCCATGCTCGTGAAGAATCTCCTTCACCTGAATTGAGAAAATATTTTGAACAAATTTATTATCAATTATGTTCTTATTTAGAGCAACAATATCATTTTATCACTTTATGACATGATCAAGCACGTAAGAATAGAATGTCATTTTGACTTTCATTCAGCCACGTAGCTCCTCTCTCTCCGAGTTAAATTATTTTATGTCTGTCAGCACAAGCTGTGTGGCACTAAAGTAGAGCATCTGCTTCATAATCATGAGGTAGTGGGTTAAAATAGTCCAGGGTCATCCACATCTATGACCAGATAGATGGATAGAATGGACTCATAAGTCCAGCAAAGCTCTTTTCTTTGGGGAGGTGAAATACCTGATTTTAAAAACAAATCATCTAATCAAGAGTAGTCAACTATCCCTGAAATAAATCTCATCTGTATTCTCTCTCAGCATAATGAAAAGAGCATAGAAAATAAATGATGAAACATCACCAGGAATGTAATTTTTTGAATATTTATTTTAAAAAAGCAGTGATACTTACCTTCCCTTGAGCTCCATAGTGAGGGGTACCAATCATGAAAATGTCACAACCAGGGGGGAACACTTCATCCAGTGTTTTCAATAGTTCAGGGCCTTTGTCATCTACCTCAAGATCCTATTGGGAAGATAAGAGCTACTCAGGTAATAATTACTTAAGGGTAGAGAGGATTACAATTATGCTTGACACACTTGAAAAATGGGTCTTGACATATCAGTTTTAATGAGTTAATATCAACATTTGTAGCTTCCATTCTAAAAATCTGTTTATTGACATATTGATTTGTTTTTATAACTTTGTTACATTTTATATTACAAGTGCTTCAAGCCAAACGATTGTAATTTTTAACCAATGAATTACAATAAGATCTCTCGGCTAGATTTCTCTACAAATACCCAAGATTTAAAGCTTCTAATTGAAAGTAACAAGAGCTATTCGATATTATGTTAACAAACAAGAAACAAACCTTGACAGTCATTTGGTGTAGGTAAGGTGCAACATTAGAGGCAAATTGTTTCTCTAGTGTTACTGTTCCTAGGGCCCCATATGTGTACCTATCAAAAAGATTACAGATTTATTTTAAGAACTCAGGAAAACAAGAAATTAAAAAGCAACCAGATTTTCTTTTTTTTTAATTGTGTTCTTTAAAAATAAATGCATTATTTTAATTGTAACAAACTGACAAAAAAGATTAGAAAACATGTTGGCCTCCTGGCTTCTGCTAGGTTTAAAAATGACTGGTTAAAAATGCACAACTCTTCTGTTATGGTTTCATTATTGAAAGGTTAACTAATTCTTCTACATTCAATATCCTGAAAGTTTTACTAAATAAGTTAATTAAAATGCAATACTTAAAGAACAAAATTTGATAAAAAGTATTTTAGTCACAGTACTCACATCTTTCCAGTCAATGGGCTAGCATATATAACAATTTCTGTGTTTCCAACATCAATGGCAAAGCGATCCATGTGCCTAAAACAAAACCAGAGGTAAAAAAAAGATTAAAAAGAAAGAAGGATTCTCAAATTCTGTACTAAAATGGGGTGACCTGTGATGCACCCTCCTTGCCCTACCTCATTTTCTGTTTCGGGTTGATGCTGAAGTGTTAAAGTGTCAAAGTGTCCTCGTTTTATAGCCATTTTCATTGTTTCTATAGTATAGTAGTTACTATCCTAGTGTCTCATTTTTATTTACTTAGTTTACATGTTTTTAATAATTGTAAAGCGTTTAGAGCTTTATGGTAAGCGCTATATAAAAATGCCTAAATAAATAAATATAAATATAAGCTGTGTGGCTTCCAAGGTGTTGATTTTACATAGAATATGTCCTATTTTAATGGCTTAAAGCAGTGGTCCCCAATCTTTTTGGCACCACAGTTCGTTTTTGTGGAAGGCAATTTTTCCAAGGACTGGGGGCAGGGTGTTTTGGGTTTGATTCAAGTGCAAAAATAGTCCAGTCTGTTTCAGAGTGGAGCTCAGTTCCTAATAGATAGCTGATCACATGTCAAATGTTGGGGGAACCCTACTTTAAGGGACAAATGCATGGGTCTCGACACATCTCAAAAGATCGATGGTCTAAGAACTATATTATTTTAAAAATGCATATCGTTATACTTGATTATTTTCATAATATAATTTATAAAAACATTTTTAACAGTAAATATAAAAGTATATCGATATCTCTTATGATATGTGCAAAGGACCTGCCAGCCAAATCAAAAATCTTTATTTTAATTTTCTTAAATTAAATGGTAATAGTTTATTCAAATTATACTATGATTGAAATTATATAAAAGTCTCACCTCTCTTTGATGCTGATCGCTTCCCTGCCAACAACTGCACTCTCTGCAGCAGTCAGTTTTTTCCTACTGAATGAAATGGCTGCTGCTTCTTTCTTACCTTTCTTATTAAATTCTTCCAGCAATTCAATTCTGCACAAGGAAGAGATCAATTTTAAAATTATATTTTGAGTGCAAAAAAAGACAGTAAAGCTCCACATACACCATTAAACAAATCTTTCTAATTGCTTTTTGAGATTAATAGAAAAATAAACACCTAGCTGTAATCATTCCTTTTAAAAAAATGTATTTCGAAATTTTCTCCTTACATTTTCAGAAGGCACATAACCCTTATTTATTCATAAAATAACAATAAAAATTCCTAAAATAAAAGGTATTTTTGTAAATAAACTTGCACTATAGGCATGAAAATAGGCATCTTATTTTAATGTTTCATGAATTATATTAATATACACAAGTCATTTAGGGAAGAGTAAAAAAGCTCAACAGATCAGAGGACTTTCCTCAAGTTAGTGCAATAAAAATTATTTTAATCATCAAAATGAAAGGAACACAGGATATTTTATTGAAATTAGGTAAACCAATTACTTGAATGTCTCATTAGCAACAGCAATAACTTTCGCCTCATGAAGATGAGGCCAGCCAACATAAGTTTCTTTTCCAAGGAGCTCATCAGCAATTTCCTCTAATTTCTAATTTTGTTTATTAGAAATATAACACAGTTATATAAGGAAATAAAACATTTTTAAAATCCATGTATAAAATTTCTAATAAAAACATGTGCTGCGAATTAAGAAATAATACACTGAAACTAATACTAAATTCACAGGTTTTATAAACGTAATTTCCTTTTAAAACAAACGTTGCTTTTAAAAATTTCAATCAAGTCTCTTTAACAATTATTTAAAAGAAGCACGTGAATGTGAATTAAAAGATTTTTTACATAAATCTCTACTGATTTGGTGTAACCTCTCTCACACTAATAGACTGCAGCTAGCATTGGAGAACAATGACAAAAGAGACAAAAGGAACACCATAACTAGTAGGCAATAAACCCCTTTTATTCTATTTCCTGCATTTAATTTTTTTTTTTAATTCCTTACAAGCCCTTCTTTTGATTGTATTCTGAGAAGCATATTTTCTCCTCGGCTGTTGTGCTGGAAAACTTTACATCCACACTTTGCCAGCTCATGCTGAAAAGGAAAAATAGCTTAATTGACAATATGTCACAATGTTACATAAAATTAAAATGTTATTTTAATCACTGAGTTGACATGGTTAAATTAGATTCAGCATACAAAAAAAATAATAATTTTGAGGGAGTATATGAATTATTTACTCACTGTGTGGGGCAGAAACCTCAGTTTAGGAAAACCTGGGAAGTACACATGAAGTCTGACACTATCTAACAAGCCCTTCCTTAGTCTGTTCACATCTATTCGGAACATGTCTTTATCAAGCTCAGTAACCCTGTAGAAAAATAACAGGAATTTGGCAATAAAGTTTTGTCTCCAACCATACTAATGAAAAATAAAAAAATTATTTTGTTCACTACCAATGGGATAGAAGCATTATTCTTTATTTTGCACACGCCCAAAAAAATAGTTATAGTTAGCATCACTAAAACAATTATTAAATTTGACAAGAACGCTATTAAAAAATAACTTGTTTGAAAAATATTCAGTGACAGGTTTATTGGTACCCTAAAAAAAGTTTTCACTGTCATTTATCATCAAAACTAAGATCCCTTTTATTTCCCTTTAACTAAATAATTATTACTTGGCTCTTGTCAAATGAAGATCAGGAAATACTCCTGGCAATGAAGATGGATAGAACCCTTGGTTGTCAGGAGTAAAGTAGTACAGAAAATGAGGACCATGTCGATTTCTTTCTCTCTCCTCTTTAGTAAGAAGATGCTCCTTGCTTGCTATTGTTTCTAGCAAACGTTTCTGATTGCATGTAGAAATAAAAGAAGAACCAAGTTTCAAAAGACGCTATTTTTTCTGCTGTTTTAAAAGATGTGGCCATAATTAGGAAATATCCACCCATAATGGTTGGGAATTCCTTGAGCAGAAAGATAGAAATGAAAATGACAAAATGATCATTGCACAGTGGTGCAACTAAATGAAGCAGTTGGTCACTGATGCCCAGTCTGGAATGCTTGAAAAGTTAAGGGAAATAAAGTCTTCTTTACTATCTTACATTGCAAAGAATCAAACAAAAACAAAAACAGTCACATAGACACAAGTCAACGAGGTTAAGACTTTTCAATTAATATATATGCTGATTGAGACAAAAATTAGCAACAAACAAGATAAACATTGCATTGCACACATTTGTTCGTGTATTATTAATCTATTTTAAAGCTTTATTGCAGTCCAACACTTTTTATAATTAAGACTTTTCAGCAATAAGTTAAGGTAGGTGAGTTAACATTAACATTTTTGTGAGTGACTAAGACGTGTTCTATGTCCAAAGTATAAGCTTTGGTAAAAAAAAACAGAACAAATTGATGAAAGCTTTGGATGAAAGCATTAGTTCTCCAGGCAGTAGAATACAATTAATATATATACTAAGTGAGACAAATATGAGCAACAAAAACAAGAAAAACAGGGTGAGAATAAAACAATCTAGTTTTTACCTCTTCAATAAATGGAATGAGAACCACTGCCTCCCAGTCTTGTTGCTTGCCATTCAGATCAGTCTCAAAATTGACAGGGTAGAAGTCCACAATTGGGGAGTTTGAGTCTGTCATCAGAAGCTGTACAAGTATAAATTATCAATAAAAATGAACGTACAAGTATAAATTATCAATAAAAATGAACTTGCAGAAAAAAAAATAACATTAGGAGCAGCACTGCTTCAACAATTAGAAAAATAAGGTTAGGGGCCATCCATAAATGACATCAGGCTAAATTTGTATGTATTACAAATTTTATACACCCTCAAAATACATCATCACAAATTGGGGAACCCCCCCCCCCCCCCAATCCCTCTCTAGATGCATGACATTATTTATGGATTACCCTTAAGTAGTAAATGAATATATAACTATAGAAGCAACTTTTCTGTATTGAATTTCTCAGTGTTTCTATAATAAATATTTTTAATTTGCAGGTAATGAAAAATACTTTATAGATATAGCTATAAAAAAAAAAAAAACGCCTTACTTCAAATTTGAGTAATAAAATAATTCCTAAAAAGGACATTACCTGCAATGGTAAAGGCAAGAGTTCCTTGCTGGCTGCAGGTAGGACAGCCATGAGCTGATGGAATGGCAAGAATGGTTTTGACAGGTCAAAAGTGATGGTCATATCACTAAAACCTCTGACATCACTGATGTATGGTGCATAATGGTGAGGGTAGAACCTACAACAGACAAGAATGTTTAGTAGAAAAATGTCAAGTAGAAATGAAAGCAAAATTTTGTATGGATTATTTTCAGTGGCTTCTGAAATGAAACTTGAAGTATGAAAATTAACACAACTAATTCAGCCCAAATAGCAAACTTATACTTTTATGATAGAACAGCTAAAAGATGATAGAAAAACTCAAGGCATGTGCAAGCTTGAAATAGAAAGACAGGACCATAAATGAAGAAACAACAAGAAATAGAAAATAGTTCAAAAACTTAAAGTGTTTGCCATTAATGTTATTGCCGGAAGTTGGTTTTCCAAAACCAAAATTACCAAGAATTATTTAAATTTTTTTAACTTTCTGTAATCTTGGAAACCCAACTTCCTGCAATACCTTCTTCCACTATTTCCTTCACATAGCTTAAATGCAGTCCTTTATTTATTAGAAAAACTCACCAGCTCCAGGAAGGACAGCCATCAAAGTAATATAGCAATATCCATTGAATGGCTATCACATAGCCATGGGCCTGCTCTTCTAACACATTGCTGCAACATGGGAAGTGGTGGATATGAGGAAATAATAATAAGATTTGTACAGGCAGAAAGAGAAACTTACTAAGTTACCAGGCCTAGCTGGCATATGTAGTAATTGACTCCCACACTTGCCATGACATCCAAGCATCTAGCAGATTTGCAAATCTCTAAACATATTCAAGTGCTAAAATAGACTCTTATAGGTGAAACTTACGGGGTGACTTCAGTATAAGACATTTTATTCATGTAGTAGTCCCGTTTGTGAAGCCTGAACTCATCCCCAAAAGTGTTGTAGTCCTCTTCATCCTCATCACTCAAATCTTCGTCGTCATCCTCCTGTTCATCATCAGCATCGCTGTCATCATCAGTGTTACCAGAGTCTTCATCCGGGAGCACATCTAAAACTTTCAGATGTTATTTTATGTTAAATATAACTCAGAAATATAAAAAAATTAAAAGTCCCTTTAAATTCAATTTTTTATGCATTGGCGTAGTGGAAACTAAGTAAACCAATTACAAATCCTTTTCCGTCACAGTTCCCATATGTTGACCTAATCTAAATTGCAGTGTGTCTGTGCTATCTTGGTGATGCAACTGAGATACTTAAAAACAAATATTTATTTGATATTGGTATTAAAAAATGTAACCATTTCTAGAAATAAAACTGTCCCTTTTACACTAGAAGTAGATTTTTTTTTTAAACAAAATTATAATTGGCTATAGAGGCAGCGTTAAAAAAATCTTCATAACATTTGTTAATCTTTATTTTGCACAGTGCTTACAAATTGTTTAAAAAGAAAGGAAGGATAACTCAGGTATCAACTTACCATTATTTTTGCTTTCGTCTTCCAGTGCAGCAAAGGGGACTCCATCTTGTTTAACAATGAACTAAACAACAAACGAAAAAAAATTGTTCATCTAATTATAAAATATACTACATTTGTACGTCAGTTGGACCGTCCAATATAGGGAGAAAGGGCAATTCAAATATTAAACAAAGGTATTGGAGAAACAAAAATCACAAAAGAATTTCCAATCAAAATGGATACAAAATTACAGGCTTCAATTTCTTTAATTTGCCAGCTTGTCTGCTGGCTCCAGCACTTTCATTGATGCTCTTCCCACCCAGTTTACTCTCAAGATAGCGGAGATCACTGAAAGCACTTTCAAATGTGTCCTCATCAAACTGCAAATATAGAGAATATCATTGATGACATTAGAGTTAAAATGTTTTATAAAATGTACATCATTATTCTTTTTTCAAAAGGCTCCAACTAAAAGAAAAATGAGGGGTACTCAGTGTTATGAAAATTATAGACAGGGGTACACAGATGTTGAAAGTTTGGGAAACACTACACTAGAGGAACAATTTGAATATTATTCCCCAACAGAAAATCATTTTAATGATATGATTATATCAGTGGCTTAACTCACAGGAAAGCCATTGAAGTGAAGCTGAACCATTTAGCCATGGGGGCAAAAAAAGTCATAATCAGATCGTCACTGATAAAATATGGACATAACAGGTCAAAATAAATTTTTATTTATGAATATCAGGTAAATCTCCATGACAATTAGGTCAAAAGTATTTCTGAATAGGATGAATAATTAGCCATTCTCTGAGACAGCAATAACAAAACCATTCCAACCTTTGAAAGCTCAGCCATGTATTTTTCAAAGCGAGGCAGATTGAGATGACCAGCTTCATTGATATATCCTGTCCAAACAGAAATGCATTAGTTAGCAAAATAACTTTTAAAATGTCAAATCTCTTAAAAGAAACTGAATTTGTACAAACCTATATCTCGGTATTTTGTCCTAGAGTTTATCCCAATATTGGGTTATATCTGTAAAGTAAGATTTACTCCCGTCGACACTTACCATCCAGCTGAGGCAGCACATTCATATATGTTCTCCAAAGCAAAGGCAAAGCATCCGCATGTATGTGCAGGTGAGGCAAGTGAGGTATAAAGTCATTGCCTACCAGAAAACCCATCAGGATCCAGTCATCTATAATATTCTCAAGATTCCATTCAAAAGGTAACTTGCCCTGGAGAACAGTTTTGTTTAAAAACCGTGTTTATGACAGAACATATGTAGAAAAGGAAATACCATTCAACGATAATCTCAGCTAAATAATATTTGATTTCTTTTTGTTAGTTAAGGAAAACAAAACGTGCACTTAATCTTTCATAGCTGAAAGTGAAAAAACCTTGCCTTTATAGTCTAGTGTGCAGTTAGAACAAAATTTACCTTCAGGCTTGAAAATTCATACGACAGGTAGTCACGCATCAAAGACAAGTGAAGGAGGTGAAATGTTGTTTCTTCAGGAGTTACAGGCCTAACAATGGGCAATATAAATAACCATTTTACATCAAACACCCGTTGTTAATAAATTAACAAATTAAAAAATATTTAATTGATTAAACCAACGATTTCAGGCATTCATAAATTATTATTAGAAAAAAAAATAATGCAAGCTAGAGGGGGAAAAGAGGGGTAAGAAGTGAAATTTGCAAAAATTATGGTTAAATAATGTTTTTTTAGAGCTTTACCTTTTGTTTTTATCTTTCCTACCACCAAAACGAACTTCTTCTCTGAGCAATGAAAAATGTGGCTCATGACTTGTGAGTCCCAGCATAATCTAAAGAAAGTAAGGTGCATGTTAACCCGAATGTTAAAATGTCAAATTATTGTGCTAAGTTATTGAGTGTGCTTGGTTTCTAGTCTTTCCTGCATAACAGTGGTTTTACAACCCTTTTTGACTTGCTGGAGCCCATATTTTAGAATCAATTTCTATGGGGAAGCCCCTTAACTCTACAAAGCTCCGCTAAAGTGTAAAGGAACTTTGCAAAATGTGACAAGGTTAAATGCTCAATACTCACCAGATCAGCATCAAGTCCATACAAGCAATGTCTGGTATCTGGGTCATGATCAGATTGACTTTTTGAATATCGGATATAATCCATGATTTTGTGTTCTCCCTCTCCTGGAGTCTAAATGTGAAAATTAATGAGAAAAGTGATAGACAGAGGGGTGGTGTGTGTTTAGAAAAACAGAATTTGTTATAGTTTTTATCAATTAAAAGGAGAAAGCATTCAATATATTCAGTTATCAGAACCAGTTATCTAATCCTTTATTTCTTGTCCATGCTAACTTACCTCATGGCCAGATAAGTAAACCTTAGGGCCCTGCCACAATGGATCATGTGTTATCTTGTCCACAACAAAATATTTAAGATGATCTTGTAGTCTTACCATGAATGGTGTGCCTGTCAAGAAAGTAAAATACTTTTCCTGAAAGCAAGCAGCCTTTTATCCAAATTTTTAACCTCAAAAGTTCACAATCTTTTCTTGATGACTAACCCTCTGACCCCAGCAATTATAAACAAAAACATATTTAAACATATCAAAAGTACACACACCAATAAATACATTTTTTAAAAACAGATACTAATAACTAAATAAGACAATAATGAAAAGAAAATCATCAGAAGTTAATATATTTTTCTAAAACTGCACTAATATAAAAAAAAAATCAGAAATGAATTAACTCATTCCAGATATCAGGTGGCAAACCACTGCTGCGCCTTAAAAATCCACACCCCGCCAGACAGATATTTGGGTCTCCCATACCTTATCATAGATCAACAGTCCAGATATAAAATGTGTTGTAAATACAACACGTGTTGTAAATATAACACCTGACTTGCAAAAGTTCACAGTAATGGCCGCACCCATGAATGCATTGTTTTTGTTATGTTTTAATCATGTTTTTCGATGGATAGAGGTGACTAAAATATAAAAATTGCTTTCTAAAAGACTCAAACTAGAATAGTTTTATGATAATGTACATAATTCAAAGGACTATTATTGTGTTTTGAAAAAGGATTGAAATAAAGCAAATAGACGATGATAGTGATGATCGATTGACTTCAACTTCTAGTGCTATCGATGTGTGCTTTGGGAACAGAAGAAACAACACAAGGTCTAGCCCTAGTCCTGGCCTTGGCTTTTATGAAAAATAAGGGTAGTATAAATGACCTTTTATTATGCCATTTTACAACATTTCTAAGACAATTTTATCTCTGTGATACATTTTATTATACTTATGGACTACAAACAGACAAATTTAGATTGAAATAAATACAATTTATTTAATTTTATAATCATTTGATTTTTGTATGCTTGTGTCAGGGTGTGGACATTTTCTCCAGGAGCCAGGGGACATGGGTATTTTAGGCCCAGGAGCCAAGGGTTCAAAGGGTTAAGGCTGATATAAGTTAAGAAAATATAGCAAATTAAAGGGAAATTGGGCATGAGGTTTAACAGAAGCTAAGCTTTACCTGGTGTTATGCAATTAGAATCAAAACGCTGCTCTGTGGGTAAAGTTTCTCCTCTTTCTTGTGCTTTTTGAATCAGCAGCTCTGCCTCCCTTGCAGACCTGAATTAGAAGTATAAACAATCATAAAATGAAATCTTTTGTGATGAACTGAAAATACCACAGCCTGTGTACCTAAAATGAAATATAACATACAGAGATGGGGAAAACCTGAAAGATCATAACAAAGAATAATTTGACTAAAACGTCTTCTTCTGCCATTTCATTCTGCTTCAAAATGAACCCAGTCCTCCACATATTATGCCTAAAATTAATTACATCAGCAATAAATTAATATGCAGCTGCATTAATTTTTTTTTTCTTTTCTATATAATAACCAATAGACACTGCCTATTTTTTTATATAAGTTTCAGAGTCATAATAAATTTCAGCGACATGCCCCTTTTCCATAATTATATCCCTAACTGAAGCACTACTAAATACCTGAAACGACGACCTCTTTGTTGATTCATCTTAGCTCTTGGTGCAACTCCATCAACAGCCATGAAAAATACTTTTTTTGGTTTGATCATGCGAAACAAAAACTGTAGAATAAAAATGAGAGGCAGAAATGGATCAGGCCTATTCAATAACAACAAAAGATTTAACGCATGAAATATTGTTGAGATCTGAATGTAAAGCATGGTGTCAACAAGTAAAGCATAAACAAGTTGTCTCAAATAATGTTTAAATAAAACACAATATGAACATAATGATTGGTACTCACATCAATGTAATGGCATATGTCTTTAAATATTTTCTCTTCTGTGATACGAAAGTGAGGGTTTTCATCATCTGGATGTGAGCACACATGTATTACTCCATTCATATCCAAATACAGATTATCAAACTCTGGTAGCTATGAAAAGGCGAGAAGGAACATAGAAAAAAGAAATTAATTTCAATATACTTTTAACAACAATATTGTAACTCTTTGACACAAAGAAAATTAAAACAAATCTATTTAAGTTAATATTTAGGTAAACATTTTCCTAAAATCTTTTACTCAAAATGCATACATTATTATGTTATTTTATTTGTTAACTTTATTTATTTATTTTTTTTTTTTTTTTTAAATAAGTTATCATATTTTTTTTTAAATTATTGCCAAAAAAAATCAGCTCCTATATATAAACTTACAGTGCAAAAATTTTATTCCATAATTTTTTTTTTTTTTTTTTTTTTTTTTTTTTTTTTTTTTTTTTTTTTTTTTTTTTTAAATAAGTTATCATATTTTTTTTTAAATGATGGCCAAAACAAATCAGCTCCTATATATAAACTTACAGTGCAAAAATTTTATGCCATAAGAAGTCCTAAACATGTTAATACAGTGACAATGCACATAATACTATCATGTAAAGTTGCATGCTTTTTTTCTTTAAATTCAAAGTGAGGGTAATAGTAAAAAGGTCTACAGGAAAATAAAAAAAGAAAGATTTATGCAATAATAATTGTAATTCATGTTAAGTAATTGCTATAATGATTAATTAAAAAGTTGGTGTGTGGCACCCTGCTTTTATATTTAACTACCATTTGTTAAATTTGCCATTTTCCAATTAGGTGTAATCACCTGTGATGGTGTCATTTTGTGGAGTCTGCACCCACCACACATAGTGATGCCACTTTTTACAATTATATTTTTTGTCTTTCTGGAGTGAAATACATTGAATCATAAATCATGACTCACTCCAGACATCACAAACTCTAACTACGCCACTGATCATATGGAAAGCACACCAGACGCTCCGGTAGTACCATTTTCTGTTGGCATTCTGCTATTGTATTTAAATACAATCTCTTATGAAGCCAACTTGAGTGATCTTTTTCAAACTTGCAATTTTACATTTTGTGATGCTACAGTATGTGGGTAACTGGGCATGTAGGTAGGTAGGTATGGTCTCACTAATAGCAGTTTGCGGATAAGGGGATTGCTTGAAGATATTGACTATTAACTATTAGACTAGGACTGACAACCTATTAGCCAATATTAGTGTTTCGTATAAATTGTTTTTTTCCTCCATTATCATATCTTAGTAAATGTCCCTATTTGGAAATCAGTCTTAAGTTTTGGGACTCTTATGCTGGCCATATTTATTGTAAAACAATGAATAATAAAATGGCGTAGAAATATGTAAATCATCCCTGATGTCATACCAATGTCCATACTAAACATAGTCTATAATAACTATAACAAGCCAATTTATTAATTAAAATGAAAGTAATTAGTGGGACTAATAAATGTGTTAACTTAATTTTATTTCTCCTAATGTAATGACCAAGTTATCCTGATCCAACAAAATAAATACCACTGACGACGTGAAGGCAATAAGGCAGTATGGCGCCTTATAGTTTATTATTATTCATTTCTCCTCGCCTAGCCTAGGTACTCTTAGTCACTGTACTGTCTTGCTGGTTTCACCAGCTTGCAAATGAGTCTCCCAGTCCAAGGTATTTGTAAGCTCCTTTTGTTTGAGTTGTCTCAGCAAGTTCAGACCAGACATATAAAATATAAAGGATAAGTGCAGGTCAGTGCCAATTTATTCTGGTTCTGGTAGTGTTCGTTGCTGCATCCATATACTGGCATCTGTGCAACGGTTCGGGGAAAGATGTTGCTAGTCTAACAGCTCCTAGCTGATGCCAGGGCAGCCTTGAAGTTTTCGACTGATGTCGAGTTCACAGCGGCATTGTCTATGTGGTTCTGGTTTTTGCTTCTAAAAAGCATGTCAGCATGTTTGGGTTTAGCCAGTTTGGGTTTTTTTTAGATTTATTTTTCAATACTTATTTAATTCAACTATTGTTTTAATTATTGTATTCAAACCTGGAATTCCTTAACCACCTCACTCAGGCATGGATAACGTTCACTTATCCATCTGTAAAATTTTGGTACTCCCATTCTTGTACTGTTTACTTATTTTGCCAATGACAATGTTTTCTTTCAGATATTAATTTCTCACACTTCCGTGAATGTCAAAACTTTGCAATTAAGTTTATCGGTTTCGAATCAGTTCCTGTTGTAATCTTTTATTTTTTAACTGAAGCTCGATAATTGAATCTGAAACTTTTTTCATGGAATACTGACGCCATCCAACTGAGTTACATATGGATAACACTGAGATTAGATAACGGTAGATGTCTTGCATTGATTGCTATTTGTTGACAGTATTGTAGCCTAATCTTTTTCTTATTAAGTATGTAATGATGGAATTCAATTTTAAAAAGTTAATAAGTTTCATTCATTACTAAACTTAGTCTTAACATTTCAGATCATTGCACATTAAAGCTAGGCCTACTGATAGAACTATTTTGAAACTGTAGGAGCCTATATAAACAAAAATCTTTAAAATACGAAGAGTGTAGGGTTCAGCCAAATACCGTATAAAACAACGCTGGCTCGTTAAAATTGGTGTGTGGTTGAATATTTCAATTTTAATTAGCTATAAATTCCAAAAAACTATTACTTCTTTTTTTTAAACAGGCGTATAATCAGGGGCGCCATAAAAGGAAAGGGAAGGGACCGATTGCTTCTAATCAGAGTGAGGGAGGGGTGGGGGGGGGGGGGGGGGGGGGGGGGCACCGAACATGCTTTGACCTGTGCTGCGGGTGCCTATACCTATATATTGCAATAATATGATATAATAAATACTAACTAATTAAGGTTTGAACGATTTAATAACTTTTAATATGTGATCGGCAACAAGATATCTTGCTCCCAGGATGTGTGCAGACGCTTATGGATTTCTGTAACACAGGACGCAATCCAATTGTTCCTCGGGGTGTAAATAAGATTATATGGGAGACTACTACGTTCAAGCTGTGTGGAAGGAATATAACGAACAAGATATTAATATTAGGACGTAGTCGCGTAGCTAGACATTGTGTCTCCCAGGGTGGCCCTTAAAATTGCACCCCTCCACCAGCCCCCGTCTAAAATAAGGTACCGGTACTAGAGAGTTGACGTAAAGTAAAGTAAACTTCCACCACGGGACTTTAGGGGGGTTAGGGGTGATTGCCCTTTGGATTTACATGACACACGATATATATGCGTGTGTGTGTGTATGTGTATAGATAGATGGATGGATGGATTCATGCATGGATGGATGGATGGCTATACCTTAAGCCTTAAAGGCCCCCGATCAATGTATTGATCATCCTGGCTCCTATTTATGTTGAGGAGATTCGCAATTTTTCTGTGCCTTGTATTAAACATTTAAAGAGGATATTTCACTGGTTGCATGGGCTACTCAGTGCGGGTAACAGGAACTGGGGGTACTAGAGGTGCCTGAGGCACTAGACTCAAATGTGTCGAATGTTGTCGCCTCAACTGTTCCCTTTTGAAGCTTGTTCCAGCCCCTGATTGTCAGTGGCAGGAATGAGCAGTTTCTGTTCTGTGTTCTTGCTGTTATGGGACTCGTCACTGTCTAGTGGGGAGAGGGGTGAGTTTCTGTTTAATGCTGGAGCAGTGGACCATTCCATTTTGTATCTATAACATCACCGAGAGCCTGGCTAATCGTCTCCGTTTCTCCAATGAGGACCAGCCCATTAATTTCCAGCATGTTGCCAACACTTGAGGTGTTCCTGTAGCGGTTAAGGACAAAGCGTGCTGCCCGTCGCTGGACCGCCTCCAACATGTCGATGCTCCTCTGGGTGAACGGGTCACAGACTGAAGGAGCTTAATCCAAAAGCGGCCAAAGGCTTGATTTTTTTTTTTACTTCATAGTATAGTTATAGGCTATTTTCTTTCACACTGGAGTTGCCGATTTTTAGATTTCGCCTTAAGGACCCTAGGGTCTGGTTAGTACTTCGTGTGAAAAATAAAATACAACGTCATCATGGGTTGCCAGCGTCCGTCAATTTACGGAGAGGCGCCGTAAAAAAAAAAGTCACATTATTTCACTGGAAAATTGTTGCCAAATCAATAAAAGCAAATTTGCTCACAAACATTAAATGCGTTAAAACTTAAATCACCATTTTTATAGACAAGCACATTTTGGCAGAAACGTTTAATTAATATATTTTTTGTAGCAAATCTGACACTAAAAGGCAAATCTCCATATAATCCTATGGGTATGGCTCTATTGCTCAATGGTGGTCCGCGAGCCTTACGTTGCCAGTCCACACATCATGAATATTTTTGGTCAAATAAATATAAAATATGATTAATAATTCTGACTCCAGTCAATTTCGAAACTACGCCACTAGTCCGACAAACTTAAATGTTTGGAAAATGCTATCCTATCTGACCATGAGGATTTATAGCTCTAGTTCATAGCATGACATTCTCATCATTCATCAGATGATCTGACTGGTTCAGAATACAACAAAGCTTTTTAAACTTCATATTTGTAGCTTTGTAGGCCTCTGTTGGCTGAGAGTGAGAGGGCTTTTTGTCGACACGATCGCCATTTTGTTTCCCCTTTCGTTCATGTTTCCCCTTACCATGTCTTTATTTCACATTGTTTTCCACACATTCCTAAACCGCGCATATATTGACACACTTCTACCGTTTGGAGTAAGTGGGTAATAACTCCAGAAGATGTGAAGGACATATGTCATTTCTGGATTATAAGTTATATAATATATTCAATTGAATTAACTTGAAACATGGAAATACCTCTCTTAAATTTTTTCCCTTTGGACTTTCTTTCAGGTCTTGAACTACACAACCATATATATAAAATAATGTTTGGCTTGTTTCACAGTTAAAAGAAATCACTTATTCCTTTTTTTTTTTTAAATATCCAATATGAATACATATATTTTTAATGTACCAGGTAATGTGTAATAGGTGTAGTTTACTGTTTTTCAGCTTAATTTCTGTACTGCGAAAGTGCCGGACATTAAAAAGACACAATAGTGGTGTGAGGGGGAAGGCAAACACAATCGTACATCATGCAGGTTTGGCTTATTTATTGATACTCACATAGATACAGGGGCAGACATAACCTCTTGATTATTGAGCTATTAAAGGATGCTGACTTGAACAATTTTAATTTTATGATGGCTATTGAATTGTGTTTGGATTTTTAAAATAATGCTTTATTTTGAAAAGCATAAACAATAGTACCAGTACAATAACTCATTTTTACTTCGCTACATAAATTAAATTTATTTATCAAATATACCTCAAACTATAATTTACATACTATTTTAGGCAATGCAATGGTTTAAAAAAAAAAATTCTTATAAGTTAAATTGAATTATAATGTTAAAAAACCATAGTCCCTCGAGCATCAAATATCCCATAGATAGAGAGGAGAGAGAATTGTGAATTACTTATCCTGTGCCTTATTCACGGCAGCCAATGTTTTCTTTCCATAAAGTCAATTAGTTCACTAATGTCCAACACTTACAGCAGATGAATATCCAAACACATTCTCTGATACTGATATACCGGGGATTTCAAATTCATGCAGCCAAAGAAAATAAAATATTGTTATTTGTTAAATTTTGAACTAAAGCAGAAGTCAGAGAATGAAATATGAATTCATTTGTTAATAAAATAAAGACACAGGCGTTGTACTGCCATTTAATTAATTTATTTCATAAACAAAAAACAAGTATAACAATTTCATGAGAGATTTGAATCAATCTTTGCTTTTCTTTTTCTTCTTTCGTTTTTTCTTCAATTCACCATCTGGATCACTGGTGCCATTATTATGCACTTCTGAAGTAGCCTGTGTATTAGGATGCTCATCATTGTCCATACTCGACACAATTGTCTTGGGAGACCTACTAGAGATATGTGTGTCATCATTTGTAGCATCTTTATTTTCATGACTCTTATTTTTCTTGCGATGAGGAGTTGAGTTATCCCCTTTAGCACAAATGTAGGATTCTATGGCTTCTAAAGATGCTTCTTTTTCTTTATCCCTTTTCTTTTTTTTCTTTTTAGCAGTCACATTCTCTGAACTTACATTTTCTTCAGACTCAGATCCTGGTATTCTTGAATCTTCCATTGTAAGGGAACAGTCATCCTCTCCTGCAACTATTTTATATTTATTCTTAGATTTCATGGGTGATGTTAAGCTATCAGCATCATCGTTGGTTCTTTTTTTGTCCTTTTTAGATTTTTTCTTCTTTTGGCTTCTAACCCCTTCCTTTGCGATTTCTTCATTGGTGGAATGTAGCAACTCTGTTTCCTTCTTCAGCTTTTTCCTGCTGCTTAGAGTTACTCCATCGTTGTCACAGACCTTCATGTGTTCAGTTGGGTCTTTAGAGTTTAAAGATTCAGAATCTTTCCGTTTTCTCTTATCTTTCCTGTGTTTCCTTTTCTCTTTTGGCCGTGTGTCATCTGAAGGAGCACCATTGTCAGGTTGTGCACAATCGTTAACTTGTTCTTTCCCAGTGGACAATGCATCACCTTCATGACAATTTTTCTCACTGTCTCTGATCTTACCGACCTTATCTGACATTTCCTTCACGCGTTCAAAACAAGCAACAAAAAATCCTTGGGTCAGATCATGTTCTGGCGAAAGTCTTAAAAAACATTCAGAGTGCGGGTAACCTGCTATGCCTCGATGGCACGCCCATTCTGGAAAAATGTGCACGCACTTGAAGTAATCCGATACATGGGAAAGTATCTCTTCCACCACCTGCTCATTTTCTTCTTCGTGGACAGAGCAGGTAGAGTAAACCACTCGTTTCACATTTGGAAAACGAAATGCATGTTTAAGTATGGAGATCTGAAACAGTTTCAGAGTTTCCAGTCTTTTCTTGTCGGTGCTGTAATCATCCTTTCCCTGTTGAGTGCCCATCCTTCCTAAAAATATAAATTTGAACTATGACAATAATGTAGAAATATATCTGCTTCTTAAAATTCTTATGTTATTAGGATCATATCAAACTATTCATTTTATAACCATTGATAACGTTATTTGAAAGTTGTACAATGAACTCTACCTGAACCACTACAAGATGGATCAACCAATATCATGGTAATATTCTTGGCATCTTCAGAACTGGGCTGCACAGTGAGAAAATCCTGATGAACCAGCTCAACACAAGTGACTCCACTTCTTTCAAGCAATCTTGACATTGTTGACATCCTTTTGAAGTCTCGATCTACGGCTACAATCCGCCTGGATAAAAAAATATATATATATTTTTTAAAACTGTTTAGGCATTTTGAGACACTGATGATTTCAGGCTTCATAGTGAAACAGATCTTTCTTGATCTGATCCTCAGGAAGTGCAGTTGTTTTACAAAAGAATTATAGTTTATAAGAAGTTGCAAAATGCAGGAGAAAACCTTTAGCAAGGTGATTCAAGTGAATAAGCTTGCTCTAATTATTTTAATGACTACTGAAAGATGACTTTGGCTCACTATACTTTCTGATGACAATCGATTTTTATTTTGTGAAAGAGATTTAATAAAAGTAGCCCTATCTTTTTAAAAAAAAAATAGCAACAAAGTCAATAATGTCTGACTAACCCCTTGTCTTTCATGAGACTTGCAAGGTGGCTGGTCTTATTTCCAGGAGATGCACAACAATCTAAGACCACAGAACCAGCCAGGGGGCTTAATACATGGGCTGGAATACAACTGGCCTGTAGATGTGTACAAGGAAAGCACATCAATAGTCAAAGGCCTTTTGAATTGTAAAAATATTCTTTTTGCAAGAATAAAGAAAGTAAAGAGATAGAGCCATGAAAGACTCATCATCAAAAAATAAATGGAACAAAGTATAAAAATATTTCAATAATAAGCACTAGTTTAAAAACCATAAAATATCTATAGGGCCTATGACTTCTACATTAAAACTTCAATAAAAAGACATAAATTCGTACTGCTTCCAACAAGTACATTTCACTAGAACTATTGTGTAAGACTCTGAGGTATTGTATTTTAAAAAGTTATGTTAACATATCTTTTTTTAAAAATACCTATGAATTCAAATAAATAGTTGTACAGCACTCTTCAAACACTTACGTTGATTGATGTTTGATTACATTTACTTACGGTAGGGGAAAATGGGAAACAATTTTTTTTTGGTGCCCAGTCTCATTTTTACTACATGAAACTGAAATTGATGTTCTCATAAAAGTATGACACCATTGTATATTTATTATACTGTGATAAATTTAGAAAAAATAAAATAGGCTTTTAACAAACACAATTAAAAAAAATAAAGAAACACATTAAAATAAAATGAATTTAAAGAGGAAATAAAACACAAGGCGAGCTTTTGAGCAAAGATTACGGTACCTTATCTTGCTGAATCAACACCCCAGATACTGTCAGATTGTGATTGTAAAGATTAGTGCCAACTGGAAAAACAAGCAGGTCATTTAAGATGGGATCAAGTCCAAACTGATTTTTTGTGAGGGCCAACACACTTTCTTTAAAACTGTAGGGGATAGACACAAGGGACACGTGAGATTTTTATAATTTTCAATTCATATTTAAACTTATAAAACAAAAGTTTACATTGAAATGGGCGTGATATAATTAACCTAATGAGGCAGCCAACTTGTCACTGGACATCAGAGGAGAAAAGCAGTTATTTATGAGGAATGAAGAAATTCATGTCACTTGCTTTTCCTTTACCTCAAAAAACCCTTTTTAAATCTATAAATATTAATATTGTAGAATTATAAAAAGAATGCTGTCACGTGCACACTAATTTTTAAAAATTAAGTAGGATATAGAAACCATATCTTTTAAACTCCAACATTTCTTTATGCATGATTTAAAAGTACGGTAATTATGGCTGAAATATTGATCCTAAAAAATACAATTTTAATTACTTATACTTATACCTTTCGATCTCAATTTTCCCCACATATTCCCAACCTTCTGTTTGGAGTTCTTTAATGACATCTTCTGTGGTTGTCTTTATAAAATTCACCCGCATATAACGTGGTATTACTGGGGAATGTGTGAGGTAAATGTTATTTAAACAAAAGTTATAGCACCCACACAAAAATGGTTTTGCTCTTATTATTTTTTTGTTCGTTTGTTAGTGATTTAATTCTCATCACATGAAATATTCAAAATGAATAAGTTTGTAAACATAGAATTAGTATGGGCATAATATACATCCTCTAAAATCCTAAAATCTTACATAAATCTTACATCAAGGTCCTAATATATATCTTCAAACATTAAGTCATGAAATATCTCTTTTAAAATCATATTAAGCATATGCCTGCATTTTATAACTTTCATCCATTATCTATAAAACTTGTCACATATTAAACCTGACCACAGACTTGAGCACTAATGGGGAAATTTACAAAAGGTATTCAGATCTTATAGAAATTACTCACCAACTTCCGTTGTTGTAGACTCAGATTTAATGATATCACGAAGAGTTTTGACATTATGTGCTTTAACCACTTTTTCAACAGCTGCCCTTAAGTCTCCTCTGTATTTGAGCATACATTTCTTGCATAGATAGACAAATATGATGATGGTGAACAAATGTACCCTTTATTATTTTAATAATATTAAGCACATGTGATATGGTAATGATTTAGAAACATTTAAAAAGACAAAATAGGATTATTACTCTTAACACTTAAAATACTTGTATAAGTAAGTTGAGGTTTATAAAAGAAGACAAAAGGGGGGGGGGGGGGGGGGGTCGATCAACTTAAATAAGTACCAGTACGTTTCTTAAAGTACCATTTTCTTTATTAAAAAAAAAAGTAGCAGAAGTAGCATAGTAAAACAATAATCATCTTTGTTTAGTTCTGGTCTTGGAATTATTAATTAATTTCAATTAATTTAACCCTAATTAATCAATTTATTTGTTACATAGGGTTTTAAAGGCTGTTGCAATATTTAAAAAAAGATAATTTAAAATGTATTTTTAGTAATAACTAAACTATGTCTACATAAAATTAATTCATTTTTCATACTTCTTTTCTTTTAAAGTACTGGGTAACAAATAAAAAGTTTTCAAAAACTCACTCGTAACCCGACATTTCTTCCAAACTTTCGTCCAAGTAACTGTTCATAGGTAAGAGCTATAGCCATTTGTTTATCCCCCTTGATAATTTCTTCCTCCATGAAGCCATTATTAGGACAGTGAGATAGTATTTCTTCAAGTAAGTCTCTGTACTTTAATATTTCGTTCACCAAAGCAAAAAGCTGAGAAATTGGCTAAGAAATTGTAAGAAATTAATACAAATTACAAAAGCTTTTTATTAATACCAAATAACGCTTAGGTAGTCCCTACATTTAGTATGCTGATTAGCATATCAATTACAATTAATTTATACAAGCTTAACTTTGGTAATGGTCCATAAAAAAAAAAATACACATTTTCATCAAAGTCAAGACCTTTGAGATTCTCTAAATCGCTGGGAGCTAAAAGCAAGCAAATGATGTGCTAAGAGAGATAATTTAATTTCATTACTTTTTAGTGCTCCTAGAAGTTTAGACATTTTAACTCAGTGCACTGTCCCCAGGGGCAAGTTGTCTTTTAACAAACTCTTTCTTTTCCTAGTAGTTTTCGATTTATGCATTGTCTTTCATGGCAAGATTATTACTTTTTAGAAAACCCAGGCCCAGGCTCTAATTAAAATGGTGAGTAAATACAATTGCAAGACTAAGTGAATTCTAGGCTAAAATAAATTACTATACTTTTACTCTACTCTTGTCCTTGTTAGATTTTTTTGCTATCAATGACAGAAATAATTACAAATAGTAATATGATGTTAGCAGACCTGTTTACCCTCAAACCCTTAAAATCGTACAATATCATCATATAATCGTTCAATACATTATCTTTATAGAGCAAAAACGTGCTGTATATATAATGTATACACCTCAAAATCGTACATTGTACGCCAAAATCGTAAGAGTAAACAGGTCTGTGTTAGGTATAGTATAATAAAATTAATCAGTATTATTATTAGTACTCTAGTCCTAGACTAATGTAAGAATACAATTAAGCCTCAGAAGGAGTCATCCATAAATTACATCATGCTGTTTTGGCTAATCCATAAAAATTAATCTGACTTCAATGCCAAATACTACCCACATGAGATTCAAAAACCACTTTTTTTAAAAAACAACATAATCACCTGTCTTCCTGATTAAATTTAGGCTGATCCCAAATGCAATTTGCACAGAATATTATAAATCCCTGCTACTATTATGTGATTCTCACTAGTAATGTAATCTGATTTAATGAACTCCAATGGCAATTATCCATCCACCGTACTTAACAGTACATTTTCAATCAACAGGAACAACTCGACACCAGCAAAGTTTACGTTTTCAATTTTTTATCAGTCAAGACTATTCAAGACAACATTCATCAACATTTAGGCTTAGGACCCTGGCTCTACAATTACAAAAAAGCACTATGAATTATACGACAGATGGCACAACACATTAACAAACATGAACATGACCAACTGAAACGGTTTCAGTTTAAGTATGAATATGAACATCTTAGTACAAAACTGCAACTCTGTGCTACCGCTGCTGCATGACCTGGCACCGTCCTGTCTCAAAGTGCTCATGATGCCTTATGTACCCATTAGACAACTCCGCTCATCCAAAAGTGGTAAACTCTCGATACCACATTTTCGCCTAGAGACTTACGGAAGGCGCACTTTCGCATTTGCTGGCCCAACACTTTGAAGCACCCTTCATGTCGCTCTCAGAAACAGCCAGACACTGGAGTCTTTCAAAACCGATGTGAAAACACATCTATTTCGCAAACACCTGCTGGGGTGATTTTGTCGACCATCTTTTCCAGCTAGCTATTATCTCATAGATGTGAATTGGCCTGTGTTGTTTATGGTTGCAAGGAATGAAAGACTTTGGGTTTGCATGTAAGTAGTTTTTGTAATGTTGCGTTTTGTATTTCAATGTGGTAAATTATAGCTTGTTTCATTTCTCTTTTAATTCAATGTACAGGGCTTCAAGCGTGATTTTCAAATGAACTTCATTATTATTATTATTACCGGTACATAAACGAAGTGATTTATAGTCATAGTCCTGTCAAAAACGAGAAATAAATTCGGTAATCTACTACTTGAGCATCGATTATGAAGAAATCCTGTTGTTCTGGTTTGGAGTGCCATTAAACTATTATTCTTTTATTGATGTCAGTTAAAAGTACAGAGGAGAAAGAGGGTGACTGGGTTTTCAGTGGCATATAAATAGAGAGTGGGCATTGTTTTATTGTTCAAATGCCAGATCAATGTGCGATCACGTTACAGGAATGCAAAGATGAGAAATATTACAGGCTTACGTATTGTATGGGCACTATGATGATGGGACAGATGGGAGTCTTAAGCTAACATATACCAGATTAGACATGGAATCTAGGAATACTTGTGTTCTATCTACAAAATTGTGCTGATCCAAATGCCAAACACATACATAACGTTCACAACATGTTGATGAGCCATAAGCACAAACCAAAAAGGCATTTTGGCTTAAGCTGCGATCTTTTCCCTAAATTGAGTAAATTTGCCACAAAATTTTTAAAAAATTGTTTAAATTTTAATATTTTAAAAATGTTGCCTTGGATTATTTACGTATGTCACAGTATATTATGTGCTGAAATAAAATAAATATAGCCTATCATAAATACATAAAAACATTTCATCTATTTTATTTGAATTAATTGAATCAATAAAAATAAAAGATTATTGTCAATAAATAAAAGAATAGGACCTAAGCTTTTAAATAAATTATAGCAGCACTTCAGCCTGAAAAACAAGATTTTTTTCATAACCGACACTGACGTGGTTAAGTTACCCTGAATTCATTAAATAAAATAGTTGACAAACTACTTACTCTGTAGACTAGTCGTAGCAGTTTAGAGTAAGAGAGTGGGGGAAACCAGAGAGCGTGACACTCTGACTGAAATTCAGAACTGACTGATGCCTGTACTGCATTGTGTGTCTCCAAGCCATAAAAAAATAAAATGCTCCTCATTGCTAACACTATAGACTATAACTATAGTACTAGTACTAATCTAATAGGCCTAAGTACTAAGTAGGTATGCTAGCTTAGACTTGATGCAGCCTAGTCAGTTAATTAAAAGTGCCGTAGTAAATTAGTAAGTAAATGGTAGTAATCTTAGATGGTACCATCTTAGATTCTTAGTCTACCTCGTAAGTCGTAAGGCTAATGCGTACTAAAACTAAATACTAAATAAACTAAAACTTAGTATTATAATTATACTAACTAAAACTAACTTTATTCGGCAACGGCCGGAGTAACACACCTCATATTGAGATTCATAAATCAATGTTTTCAATGACGCTTCTTTCTTTGATGCCTTCTTTAAGACTTTGGCGGTAGATATGAAAAGATCAATATTCATTTTATTGTACTTTTTGCATTCGACTGATTCCAACTTTTATCACGGTAAAAATTATAGTGAAACAAGAAAGCAACCACGTTTATTTTCGTTTTTTTTCTTCTGCTGTTTACTTCCTTTAAGGGAGTACACATTGTCATTTATGAGAAAAAGATCTACCGGATTGTTTCATATTCACGTTGATAGACGTATAATACACTATACACACTTTGAAACAATCGATTGACCGAGGCTTTTAAATATTATTTTTTAAAACTCTTTCTTTGGATAAAATATTTTAAAACAAATTAAGTCATACATAATAAGCAGGCTACTTGTAACTTAATATAATTTCTTAGACTTAGTCATCTATATATTTTCTTTAAAATTGCATTTTTTAAAATGGTTGATTTTCGCCGTACTAAATTACTAAAAGCTTGTAGTTTTAGTTTAAGTTTAAGGCAGGGGTCTCAAACTCGGGGCCCGCGGGCCATTTGCGGCACGCTAGACGATATTTTGCGGCAGAGCCGGCCTTTAGGGTGTACGACCTGTGCCCTCGCACAGGGCGCCGTGGCCATAGGGGCCATCCATAAATGACGTCACGCGTCTAGAGGGGGTCACATTTTTGTGACCATGTGTGACGAGGGGGAGGGGGGGGGGTAAAGCGATGTGACGTCACAAGAAAAGCGGTATATTACTGAAACTACTTGCTAAGAATAAGTTATTTTACCATAATTTATTTTTTTAAAACATATCCATAAATGACGTCACGCGTCTAGAGGGGGTCACATTTTTGTGACCATGTGTGACGAGGGGGAGGGGGGGGGGTAAAGCGATGTGACGTCACAAGAAAAGCTGTATATTACTGAAACTACTTGCTAAGAATAAGTTATTTTACCATAATTTATTTATTTACAACAATTTTAAACATTACACTGTAATTCTTGACGTTTATTGATGTTTTTGTCTGATTGCATTTGATTAAACACTTTCATTTAAAACTACGATCACCACCGTTTTCCCACCTAAGGGAATCAGTACCGCGACCGCGGGAAACTAGAACTAGAATGCCTGCACCACCGGTCACTTTATTCTGAGAAGATCAAGTTACAGGATGCCAGGGGGGCCGAGAGAGGACGTTGCATTGCCATTTGACAGTCGGAATAAATTATGTGGAAAAACAAGGAGACGGGAGGCGTTTTACGGGAGTCCGGCAACTGGGGGTAGGAAACAATGCAAAACAGTTTTCAGGGAAAAGTGATCTTAGTAAATGGTTTTGGGGTACATTTTCTTGTCGAGCTGTAGTAATTCGATAGACAAAACCAAGCCATAGAGGAATGTTTGAGCTCTTGAAAACGAAAAGGTTAATATCAAATGTAGTGGTCAGAGGGAATTTCTCTTCAGAACTGCACGGGCCTAGTCATGTTAGATAGGAAAAGAAACGCATATACATTTTTAAAAATTGAAAACTGCTCTAATATTATTTTTATGAATTAAAAGAATTTAAAAAAAAAAAATGACAGCAATTGATTTTTGTGGATCAGAAGACAATTGGAAGTACAGCTATCTGTGACAGAAATTCAAATTTGACCAGTAAGCTATTCTTTAAAAATTCTAAAACTTTACAGTTTAATCGAGAAAAAATATTTTTAATATTATAATTTTGAGATTTAAAAAATTTCAGATAAAGACATCACTGTTATGTTATTGTATTGCCTAGATTTAATTATGTATTATTAATATGAAATGTTATTTAATGAAATTCTTTATGTCTCATTGTTTAATTATTTTTTAAACATAAAAAAACAACTAAATATCACTAAGGTGTCATACATGTTTTACATATGTGTGGTGGTGTATCAAATAATGAAATTATTTGGTCATTCATTATAACATGGATGGACCGTAATACTAATTTTTGTTTAAATCATGTGTTTTTTAAAATAAAATAAAATTAAAAAAATATATTTGTGCTATAGAATGGAATTCATTAGACTGATCTTATATATTTTCGTATTTTTATTTTTTTTAAATTGAATATTTAAGTTAATATTTTACAATTATTTTTTCAGACGTGAACGGTAAGATGGATAAAAATAAAACGTTCCAGTGTCTTTACGGTGCGTTCGTGTTGGCGTATCCAACAAAGAGTAGGAAGATTTGCCAAGAAGATGTGATTAAAAAGTGGCATAAAATTAAAAATAAAGCAGATTTGCAAGTTATAGTTGATCACTGGTTGCAAGTTAACTTAAGGCCGTTACCACCACACAAAAAAAAGGATCCCTTCTAACAGTTTGGACATAAACATCATCACCGGTCAATAAAAAAAAAACTACACAAACTATGCCTGTGCAAATACCTGAGAATTCTATGTCTCATGTTGAAATAAAAGACACCTATGTTAAAGCTGATGTTACACCTTCGACCACTTGTCAGTCATCGGCATCAAGAATAGCTTCAGTTCAACTGCATTTGCAGTCAGAGATTGATATTTTAAATTCTGATCTGGTTGAGTTGTAAGAACGACATAAACATGGCATGCGTTCACAGGAGCAGCTTGTAGAACTGAAAGAAAAGAAGAAGAAGAAAATTGAAATGGAAAACCAACTGAAGAAAAAGAAGAATGACCAGAAAAAGATCACAAAAAGCACGAGATGAAAGGAAAAGAAGACTGGATGCTCTGTTCGAGGATAATCCAGAACTAAGAAATTCTTTGAACGTCAGTGCCAAAGCTGGTAGGCCAAGAGTTGAGGAAGATCAACCTTCATTACTAGAAGCAATAGTGGACAATATGTATGGGTCGGCTGCTCATGAACGAAGACAGAGTGATGAGTATAGAAGCATAAAAACATTAGTTCAGCTGACTGAGCAGTTAAGGTTGGACGGTTTTACTATAAGTAGAAGTGGGCTCTACCTTCGTCTTTTGCCGAGGTGCAGCTCATCTATTGAAGGACAACGTCATGTGGGAACCGTCCCAATGAAACTGATTAGAGCACAAAACGATCATCAGGGAAAACATATTGATGGTTTGTTTTGTACGGCAAAATACATCACTTGGAAGAGTTCGCGTACCAATGAAACTGATTAGAGCACAAAACGATCATCAGGGAAAACATATTGATGGTTTGTTTTGTACGGCAAAATACATCACTTGGAACAGTTCGCGTCCATTCTAGGATCAAATGAAGTGCGCTTTATCAGTCAAGACGATAAAGCAAGAGTACCCATTGGGTTGACCGTTGCTAACAAGCAAAGTCCATTGCTGATGCACGTTGAATACAGAGTCAGCTTGCCTGACCATGATTGGGTTGTAGCCGCAGGACACAAGCTAATTTCTTCGGTCTATGCTGGAATCCAGATTCAATCCAATGGCCTATAGGAAACCGAGAAGCTGTTGGCTATTCAGGACCAACCTACATTGCAATTAGATCTGGAAAACATTCATCATCAACAGCATTCAGCCATGGACTAGATTTTGATAAATTGATTGGCCTCGTGGAGTTTGACAATATTAGAATGGTATTGATCGTTTAGTGAAACCAATTTTTGTGATAACAGTGGATGGTGGCTCGGACGAGAATCGAAGATATCAAAAAGTATTAAAGTAGCTGTCCACCATTTTTCTCACTACGAGTTTGATGGATTGTTGATAGCAACCAATGCTCCAGGAAGGAGTGCTTTTAATCGAGTGGAGAGGAAAATGGCGCCACTCAGTAAGGAACGGACCGGACTGATATTGCCACATGACCACTATGGTAGTCATTCAAATGAACGAGGAGTTACGATCGACCCAGAATTAGAGAAAAATCATTTTCAGTATGCAGGAAACAATCTTGCAGAAATTCGGTCAAAATTGGTAGTGGATAATTTTCCAACAGGGGCCAAATTCATCGATCCAACCGAGTCTGAGCTCCAAGAAACTCAATTCCTATTAAGAGATCAAAAATGGTAAGATGTACACGTTCGAATAAGCCAATACTTAACCCAAATTGTGAAATGCATCATGCACAGACAACAAGTGCTGTTCTAAACTAAGAAGCTCATATTTCAGTGTAATAACAGATCGATTTCTTCCTCCTCCGTTGCCCGTTATTCAAACAAACGAAGGGATTGAAAATTCCAGATCGAACAACAGACAGTGATTCTCACACATTCGCATCTCTGTTCGCTTCTCAAAGCTTGGAAGTGCCTGGCATCCCTTCCTCGCTCTTGAAATTCTTATCGATCAATTCCATATGATTTGTACTGTCCATCAATCCAATCTGTGCTGGGTGATAGGATCTGTAGGATCTTTCACACATACTTTGGGTCCCTTGCCATGCTGCGCAGCCATTCTGCAGTTCACAAGCAGGAGCCAGTTATTGCACCTAAACCCATCAGGCCGCAGAGAGTCGCTGCATGACGCAGGAAAATGGAGAGAGTGCAGACTGGATAGATGAAGGAGATCTTGATCTTGATGGAATATTCATTCCCCATGATGAAGTTATCTATGCTCTCCCAATTTGTTTCATGAAGGAGCATTTTGCTACAGTTAAGCGTCATGGGGGAGTCCATTAATTACGTCAACAATGTTTAACTAAGCAATTTTTGACCCCCCCCTCCCCTCTCAACAACTGTCAAACTTTCAATGACCCTCCCCTAACTAATTATGTCAACATTTTTATACCCACCCCATCCCCGAAAAAAACAAATTAAAATATATTAATGCATAAAACATTTTATTGCATCTTTAGCTTGTTATTCAACAGGTTAAAATGTTTTTACACGTACATTTTATAAGGGGCCATCCATAAATGACGTCAGGCAAATTTTACCGATTTTTGACACACTCCCATCCCATCGTCACAAAAAGTTAGACACCCCTCCCCCCTCAAATATACCGTCACAAATCCCTGCCCCCCCCCCCCCCTATAAAAATTACGTGTGCACTACTGTCTTTTACAAACCCTTAAGAAATTACCCTCCCGTGGATCTCACATTACCGCACCTGTGTGAGAAACATTTCACTTATAGAACAGTGGTTCTTAACCAGGGATAAAGTAACTCCCCAGCCCTGAGGTGTGGAAGACCAGAAAATAGTATTCAGGGGCGCAGCGGGTCACACCATCTCAAGGCGTGACACCAAATTGAAAAA